AAGTCCTGGGGGCAGTTTTGGGCACCACAATGTAAGAAGGACATCAAACTATTCAAGTGTGTCCAGAGGAAAGTGACCAAGATGGTGAAAGGTCTCAAGGGCAACACTTATGAGGAGCAGCTGAGGCCACTTGGTTTGTTCAGCCTGGAGGAGACTGAGGAGAGACTTCACGGTCTGCACCTCTCCCAGGGAGGGAGGTGGAGGTGCTGGTGTCCCCTCTCTGGTGACCAGCAGCAGGACATGAGGCCATGGAAAGAAGCTGCACTGGGGATGCCGTCCAGTCTGAACTTTGGGAGAAGATTCTCAACTGAGCAGGTGGCTGGGCGCTGGAAGAGGCTCCCTGGGAAGTGGTGACAGCACCAAGCCTGACAGCACTCAAGGAGGGTCTGCATGATGCTCTCAGTCACAGAGTCTAGTTTAGGTAGTCCTGCAAGGAGCAGGGAGCCAGACTCAATGATCCTCATGAATCCCTTCTGACTGGAACTCTTCTGTGATTCTTTATTCACTCCTGGCCACTCTCCAGTGACCGATGTATTTCTTGCAACATCGTGCCTAAAGCGACACATCTCACTGCACCATCCTCTCATCAAACAAAATAATCTCTCATTTTTTTCCATCCCTCTCTCCTGCCAGCCCAGAATGACACCTGCCTTTATCCTCCCCCAACAGCTTATTATCACCTTGCATTTAATGGTCTCTACTGTAACTTATCCACTCCCACTGCACTGCTGCTCTGCCAGCTCTCACCCATTTATACTCGAATGTCTGATTTCTCCTCCTAACTACAGCTCTTTGCACTCGCCTTTATCAAATTTCTTCTCATTATTTCAGGCCATTTTTCCTGTGTATTATGGCCATTTCAAATTGTGATACAAACCTCCAAAGTGCCTGAATGTATTCTCAAGTCACTGCCAACCATGGATTTTTATACAGCTATTTATTTCACCGCTCCAGCCATTAACAAAGATATGGAAAAATACAGACCCTGAAATAAAATGTATCATGGTCTCACAATGCCCTCTCTGGCTTTATACCAATAGCTATTCCAAGTGTAATTTTTCTGCTAAATTGTGTTAATTTGCTTCATTTCTTCTTTTCCTTGAAAAAAGGAGAAAGAGTATAGTGAGGCAAAGAAAACATTAACAGCATCAGTTTTCTCTGAATCATCTGTCATTTTTTCTCCATCCACTCATTTTTTCACACTTAATCATGTGCCTTTCCTTCAGATTTCCGCAGTTTTCATTTTGATTGATCCTTACAAGCCCTTGCTGTGCCATTTTCCCTTCACATTAGGACACTGCTAATGGGGCATTTAAAAAGCACCTCTCTCCAGTTATCCCACCCACCTCTCCCAAATGGATGCAGGCATCAACACCCACACTTACCAAAACTGCCTTTTGAGGTCCTTATTCTGCTTCTCTCATCTCCCTGCTGTCTCCAGAGCACCAAATGCCAACTCCACGGCCACTTCCACCTGAATTACTTCTGACTTTTAAAGTTTTAAGCTTCAAATAAGCCTGACTGCAACCCAGAACAGTTAACTCCAGAATAACAGCAGCCTGTACCTTCTGAAATACAAACAGTCCTCTGGAAAAAATTCTATTAACTCTCTGTCTTTTCAAGTCTTCCCGTGTTAGGCACTTTCCCAACAGATTCTCAAGTATTGTTTGGAAATACTGATGGATGAAAAATTGAGCGCAAGCTGGCCATGTGCACTTCCAGCCCAGAAAGCCAAAGAATGTCCTGGGCTGCATCCCCAGCACTGTGGGCAGCAGATCAAGGCAGGGGGCTCTGCCCCTCTGCTCTGCTCAGACCCCACCTTCAGTGCTGCACCCAGCTCTGGGACCTGTTGGAGCAAATCCAGAGGAAGACCACAAAAATGATCCCATGGCCGGAACACCTGTCCTTTGAGGAAAGGCTGAGGGAGGTGGGGAAAGCTGGGAAAAGCTCTAGGTAACCATACTGCAGCCTTTCAGTACTTAAAAGGGGCTTATAGTAAACAGAGACTTTTACCAGGGGCTGTAGTGACAGGACAAAGGACACCAGCTTTAAACTGAAAGAGGATCAGTTTAGACTGACATCAAGGAAGAAATTTTTCATGACGAAGTTGGTGAGGCACAGGAAAAGGGTGCCCAGAAAAGTTGTGGGTACCCGTCCCTGGAAGTGTTTGAGGACTAGAGGGCATTGAACAGTCCTTTCCAACCCAAACCATTGTGTGATTCCCAAGCTTTGGAAATACACTCCTGGTGCCCAGCATAGTGGCTCCAGCCTTTCCTGAGCAACAGACAGGTCTGTGATCCAGGGCTGCCGTTTACCTCCAAAGTCACTGAAATGCACATCAATCATTTCTGGCACATGCTGACGCTGAGCTCCTCCTGTGTATTCCTCACACTGGTGTACAGACGTTTCAGCTTCACATGTTCATTCTCTCTCCTGGAAATTACAGTCCCAGCTCCCATGAATAATTCATTTACGTCAGTGAAGTGCTACAGTCTGTCAGGACACAGTTTCATAGCAGAAGCCAAGACAGAACCCAAAATTTCAAGCCCCTCCACCAGCTGGATTTGAACCCTAAAGACTAGAAATAAGAATTGATTTTTTTTTTCTCTTTTGGACAGCATTCTCTAATGCTGTTTAGGAGCCATAAATCTCTCCTGGAAGTTCAGCTGTAACTAGCAGCCTTCCCTGAAGAAAGGCCCTGAGCAGTCAGTGTTTATGACCAACCAGCCAACAAACCTTTCCCTACAAGCTGCCAAAACACATCCTTGGCAGAAGCCTTGCCAGGTGTTCAGAGGGCCTTAGAGAAATCAAAACACTATTGATACCCAGGTAGGATACCCATTGCTGCAAGAGCTCACATGAAGAAATGTAACAGGATACCTCCCTCCGCCAGTCTGCCCTCCCCAAAAGGAAGAACCAAAAAACCCAAAACCAGACTTACTGCAGTGCCAATGTCACCATTATTACAAAATCCTGTAATCTCACAAAACTTCTTAAGGGCTCTGTATCTTTGAGACAGCTTCAAGATTACACAAAATGCAGCAGTTATGGCAACAAGTCTTATTTTAGCTCTATATAATGTCAGGATGACCACAAGTTGGAGATTGTCTCTTTACAGAAGTCATTAAATTCAAATAGAAGACACTGTTAATTCAACAATCCAGACAAGCTTTTGCTAAGGTAGATTTTTTAAGCCTCCAATTATCAGTGTTACCAAACGTCCTTCATGATTCAAAAGCACCATGGTCTGTTTCTGTGTTACACTTCAGGTCCATCTTCTCTTGGCCAAAATTTTTAGTTCAGAATTATTTCTTGAACTAATGTACAAAATGTAACATGTGTCCAAATACAACCAGAACTGATACTTCTGCCCTCTAAGGTTGAAATCAATTACCAGTTGCCAAGCTGATTTGCCTATTTATGCTCACTGACAAACACCCTGTCCTCCTCTCTGGCTATTTGACACCTCAAATTTGGAAGTTTGTGAAAGCTGCACTCAGCCATGCACAAAGGTACAGAAGGATTTTTACAAAGGTTTGTGCCATGCTATTGCCCATCTCCACAGTGTCCCTGATCTGTTTTGGGGTCCTTTCACCTGGCAATGCTCACCTGAAAGCCTGAAACCAGGAGTGTCCAAGGGTCTCTGTTGTCAAATGAGCACCTGAACTGCATCTCACAGGGCACCTTTTCTCTGCACCCTGGACTTGAGCAGCAGGTGAGTATGTAACAATGAGGCAGATGAGATTTCTAGCCAAGGGTGTCAGATGTGGATTTTTACAGTCTGTGATCAGCATCCAACAAGTGCTACTGATTTTACTGAGACTCGGACCTGGACCACAGTGTCCCTGATCTGTTTTGGGGTCCTTTCACCTGGCAATGCTCACCTGAAAGCCTGAAACCAGGAGTGTCCAAGGGTCTCTGTTGTCAAATGAGCACCTGAACTGCATCTCACAGGGCACCTTTTCTCTGCACCCTGGACTTGAGCAGCAGGTGAGTATGTAACAATGAGGCAGATGAGATTTCTAGCCAAGGGTGTCAGATGTGGATTTTTACAGTCTGTGATCAGCATCCAACAAGTGCTACTGATTTTACTATTTTACTGAGACTCGGACCTGGGTATTTCTCCCCTGCTTTTAGGGTTTAGATTTTTTTAGGTATTATAGAGCACCACTCTATGTGCCTTTGTAAGAGGGAGGGAAAAGTGGATAGAGGTTTTAAAATTCAGCTCAGTATTATCCATGCTGCTGCTGCAATCAATTCTAATCTTAATATTTATCCAAATAAGAGGCTGAGGGATGAGGAAAGACATGGACAACACAGGAGAAAGAGGAGTCAAAAGAGAACAAACAGCATGGACAGTCTGAAGCCCAGAGGGACAGGAGTGTCACTCCAAATCCTGAACTAAGCCAGGACATGTTCACAACTGCTACTTATGGGGTTGCAGGAATCCTGATCCCCACTATCCACCCAGGAGATTAAACATCACAAGTATTGGCTGTGAAACAATGAGGACTTTTCCTTGGCACTCCTGGCAGAGCTGCAGCCCTAGAACTGAATCTCACTGCTGGAGCCATCAGACACAGCCAGACTTCTGCAGGGTTTGGCAGGCACAGGAGCTGTATAAAATGACTGCATGTTACTTCCCTCTAAAACTTCTGTTTGTCATCTAGATGAGACTGCAAGCATCTTCACACTGTGTTTTAAGCATATAATTAAGAATATATAGTATACAGTTGGCCCTTACTCAGCAAATGGTGATGATATAATTAAATCCCATGAACAAGGACCTGAACAACTGGAAATTTGTATTTTCAGATTTCTGCATATGATGGCTAGAGGCAGAAACTGCTTTTATGATGGAATAGAAAAGTGTCATGTACTATTCAGTGTAAAATTGATCTGAAGCATTTTTAATCTACCAACATTAGCTCCCTCAGCTCCCCAAAGGAAATATGTTTGTTAATTATCCTAGGAGATCAAAAGGACATAGAGAGTGAAAATTCTTTTAGAAGAGGAATCTTTAATTTAACAGCCAAATAAAATTCATTGTCTGGTTAACTGAAGTTGGGGATAAAAACAAAGTGCATCTAAAGTATGTATTTAAACTGTAAGGATATGGTATTTTGGGGGACCTGATCCTACACATCATATTTTTATATTGGGGATTGTTTCTGCACCAGTTCTGAACATGGGACCAGTATTTTTGCTCTGCTACCTTTTAAGGTTCCTCACTAGGAGTTAGCCCAAAGGAAGCAGGACAAATTCCTGCAACTCTAAACTGCAGTTCAGCTTGGCTGAGCAGCCCATGAATTCAGAGTGGGCATCTGTCAGGATCTCACAGAGGAGAAAAACTCCAGCCCACCCACCTAAAGAGACACCACAGAGTGCACAGGCTCCCAGCAAACTGCTCCCATCACCAAATATGTTCTGGTGAACATTCAGCAAAGACAGCTGAGAAAGTGGCAAATTAATTTGTGGGAAAATATCTTCCAGCTTTAAACTAAGAGTTTGTTTTTAAAGACAATGATCTCTGGTTTAGAAGCATTTATGGATCTATTGGAAGTTCCAGGGCATCATCTGTGTAAAGGAAGGAAGTGTGGTTAGATCACCCCAACAGTTTAAGTTATGGCTAGAAACTTTAAAACAAAGAGAAAAGCTTTGTTAATTTTTTACACTTTGAGGTTCCTACCCGCTTTAGAGACATTTACATTGAAATTATCCCTCTGGGGAGGGCGAGAAACACTCATCCAAAATCCTGCAGTATGGGAGGATTAGGTATAGCCCAGCCCTGAGTTAATGATCACCTAATTTGAATACAAAAAGCTATTGAGAAGCAGGTTCCAATGCTTCAAACAATGCTTCAATTCAGGGCAGACTGTTCTGACTCCAGGAGCTTTCTTCTGTGATGTTTCATCAATGTGTGGATTCTTAATCTGCATAATCTTTAACTCGAGTAAGTTTTCATTCAAAACAGAAGCTAAATAAAGACATTAGGTAATAATTTAACAATTTAGCTCAGATTTAACATCCAAGAACAGATTGTAACCAAGCACCATTCCAATCTGACAGCAAAAGCAAGGCAAAGAAACACAAACAGCTCTACACACACACAGTATCACATAACTGGTTTGAAATAGGAACCAGTTTCCAGGGGTTATGAGCTTCTTCAAATGTCCTTTAGTTCAATGGGAACTCTGCACACTGTTAATAGATTACTGATGCCATACAAACACCTATATCCAAAAGTCAGCTGGTGATTCACCTAAAACTGTTCTCCCCCACCTCCCAAACAACAGCAATTGGTAACAAGAGCTTCTGTTTCCCCAGATTTAGCCAAGCTTCCCTTTATACAAAAAAAGAAGTACCAAATGAATACAGAATTTTAAGAGCTGAAAGAATAATTACTTTCATAAGAAACTCAGAGATGTGACAAAAAAGACACAAGACTGAGTCTGTATATAAAATTATAGGTTGATGTTAATTATGTAGATTAAAGTCACAGATGATGTCTAGTGTGTAATCATGTTAAAAAAACAGGTTTCAAGAAAGCATTACTATGAAAATGAAATTAAATTTGGCGAAGTTAAATAATTTAATTTCGCTTTAGTGACTGTGAAAATATTACTTTACTTTAAATGCATTCAGAATTTCAAATTCCCAGTACGTAAAATTTTCAAACTTTAAGTAGTTTGCTACAGCTATAGCTGTTCTCTGAAATATTAGTCCTTGTAACAACGAAAAAATCCCTTCTCCATTTTTTTTTTCACAAAGGACGAGAAGTGCTCCCAAAACAAAATCAATTTACAATTTTAAAAGGTTACTACAGATAAAAATGTACATTCCTTTTACTTTGTGACTACATATTAAGCAAGAGTGTGCCTAAATGCAGAGAATGCTCCATGTTTTTACTGCACAAGCATTTCATGTTGCCATATTTACACTGGGGAGTCCAAAGGTGTAGCTCAGTGGCATCAATCTTCACATTATGAGAAATGGAAAGCACTTGTTCAGCTGCACTCAGGCTGTTGCTTCTTTGCACCTGGAATCCAGTGAGAACTCACCCTGACCTTTCATGTTTCCCTGAAAAAGCTTCCCTACACTTTTGTATAAACCAACAGACACTGGGGACGAACAGCCCTTCAGTTCTTTCATTGACTATAAAAAGCAGGTTTTCTTTAAATCAATAGTTTAATAGTTATGCTAAATACAGATTTTGCCACATTTCTTGCTTGTAATTCAATGTAATGCCTCTGGGTACCTCAGTCATCCTCTTGCTGATTTCTTTTCTGTCAATAGAACAGGAGAGTTCAGAATGTTAGGACACAGTTATCTGAAGTAAGAGCACTAATAAATCATGTCAAGTGTTCCAGATACAATGGATTAGACAGTGACTGCGCTTCTAAGTCATTTTTTGGAACAGTAAGAGATAATTTTTCCAGCAAATGGAACAGAGCAAAATCAACCCCCTCTCTCATCCTAACCTATAGGATTTTCCTTCCAGTAAAGAACAAGATTTGCCTAGTCCATTAACTCATGGAATACACAAGAAACAGAAAACATCATGGTGGTGGCAAGAGTCAGTGATGCAGGTGACCTGCCCTCCCTTCCCTAACTTAGTCATGCCTTCATGTCACTGTGCATTAAAAGAACAAAGAAAGCAGACTGAAAAAGGAACAACTCTATCATGTTTTTTCCTAATATATTTGTCTTGTAACTTTTAAAGAAAAATAAAGCTGAAAACATTAAAAGTTAAAAGCATTAGCTCCAGGCATTCAAAAAACACATTTCCATTCACACTACATTCATATTTATATTTCAGTAAGAAAGGAAACAGCTCAGTCCTTCATTAAGATATGTCAAACTGCATTCACTGCTTTCCATAAAAACAAAATTAATTAAGCAAAGTGAGAGCAGTAAAAAGCTTGCTCTTCATCACTTCAGAAACAATCAACCCAGCATTGTGTGATGGTTTCATACATTGCTTTTTCTGCAATTTTGTACACTTTGTTAGTAACAAAAGCAGAGATCCAGGGATTTTGGTGTTTCCATTTGACAAAGGTGGAAGATCAGAGATTTTTTTTCTCCTACTTCTTACCAGTTTTAGAAAGTCAATCAATTTGTGAACGTCCTCTCCTGTGGAAAGGTCCACAAAGTCCTTGGGCAGTCGGTAGCTCAGGTAGGGACTGGGCTGCACAGTGACTTTGCTGTTGGTACAACGGAACACTGGATAATCCTTTGGAAAAGGAGATAAGACAAAAACAGTGGACATGAATATTAAATATTTCTGGGACTCCTCCGTGAGACTGAGTCACGCTGCCAATGAGTTTATTTGGCACTCACTCAACTAAACTTGAGCTTTCTAAAAATTGTAGCTTTCTTATAAAACCCCTGCCCACTTAGGAGCAATTTGAAATGTCAAACATGTTAAACAGTCAAATAATGGCTTTCATTACCTCACTTTAAAGCTTCTACTGTGTATCAGTTATTAATGTATTTAATAAATTCATGCTTGTGGCAGTGCTGTAATAAGGGAGCAGAAGGAACTTTGAGCAATAGTATCTAGATACATATCTGAATAGAGAAAAATCTTTTTGATAGAATCCCTGAACTTGTCTTCACAGTTTCCTTGTTTAAACACATTGGTAACTATAATCTTACTGAAATTATAATTTAAGCTTTCCAACCAATTTACTTACCAAAGGAAAAAATACCTCTATAAAAGGGCCAAAAAGATCTCTAAATGCTGAACTATAGCAACAGGTTTTGGAAAATCATATCATTTTCAGTTCAACACATTGGCATGCCATGCAATTGCCAACTGCACTGCAATAAACAGCTTCATTTTGAGAAAGATCAGCAACTGCACACCAGATTATGTGACTGGATGTCAGATGAAACATGAAGACAAGTTATTCTACTTTTCACCCAGGTCTGAACTACAGAAAACTTTGCAAAGCATCTGGCAACGAGAAAAAGAAATCCCAAAATGAAAATTCATGTGTCCCACAGACAGTTCTAGAATTGGGGGTGTGCTCTAACAAAGGAGACACAGCTTTCAGCAGGAGGGTTCATGGAATGGGTTTTCATTCCATGGTGAGACAGAGGCAATGGCCTGAGGGACAGCCTGGAGTGGGGTGTCCCTGTCAATGTGTTATGGAAAGGGCCACAGGACTAAAGAAAATCTCAGATGTTAAAATCAGCTCAGTGAAGTTTGTCATTTCAGTGACCTCTAATGCAGTTCAACAGCTAGAAAATAAAGAAAAGCCCACACTGGCCAAACACCACTCCTCAGAAAATAAACAAGTGTTTCCCAGGATCCACTAATGCACAACTTCCTCTCTCCCACCCAGCTGCCCAAGGACTTGTTAAAATGTGAGGACTCTGCCTCAAGATGAAGTGAGAAAAAAAGCTGGAATACAAAAAATAAAGACTATTCCTCCCTTTCTGTATTAACGGGGAGTTACTTGTTTTTACAGAGGAAAGGTGGCTTGGAAGAGGGATGGAAAAGTCTTGTTCTGAAAGTTCTGGGAGTTCAACCAGAGGACAAGGCTTTGCTAAGGGTATTCCAGATGAGGAAGAGACAGAAGTTAAGCTTCTTCTTGTTTTCTCCCAAGCACAAAACTGAAGATGTGGCAAACTGCATGACAGATATCAAGAACCAAGCAGAAATTTAAGTGGCTATAGAAAAGTAATAGATTTTAAGAAAAACTTCTTCTTGTTTTCTCCCAAGCACAAAACTGAAGATGTGGCAAACTGCATGACAGATATCAAGAACCAAGCAGAAATTTAAGTGACTATATAGAAAGGAATGCATCAAAACTGTGTAAAAACAAGTTTCAGGGCATTTTCTTTGCAATGGGGTCAAAGCTGCAATATGGGCTTGAACTGTTTGAACTAAAAATTCCCTTGCAGGCCTCTAAAACTAGAAGGTGATACCTGTTGAGATGAACTATAAGATGAACTAACATCTACTTAAAGAGAGCTTATATTTCACATGAGCTTCATTTACTTCAATGGGATTTGCATCACAATTTGATTGTAACAGCAAAAGAAAGAAAAAAATAAGGGCATAAATCCTGTTGGATGTTACTGAGCCTCCCTCACCTGTTCTGTTGCTTCCCCTTCACTCTGGTCTCCCTTCAAGTTTTTTCCAGAGGTGAGTTCTTCCCATGTAAAGAGCAGGGAGTCTGTTACTTCACCAAATGGGTTAAAATCTATTAACCAAATCTTACCCTGCAAAGGAACCACAGACAAATTAAAACAAAAAAACAGAATTGAAACAAAAAAATAAGTTAAAAAAGGAAAAAAAAATCAAAATACTAATATACTCAGATTATTACAGTATGCTTGGTCTTTACATAAAAGATGTTAAAATTGAAACAACCTGGGTTTAAGCACTTAAAATATTCTAACATCCTTTACCTTTTAGAGTTTAAATCACAGCAAGCTATCATGTACTAATTTACTTTGATTTTGTTTTAAACAATAGATCAGACAGAGCTCAAATAAACTGAACTTAGTTCTATGCCAGGTGTTTAGATGAGCTCACTGAAGTTCTGGCTAATCCCCATGATCCACCAAGATCCCCAGAGAGAATGGACAAGGAATAGGGGAGAGCACTAATCAAAAACCACAAAAAAAACCCCAAACCCAAAACACAACGGATTTGGATTTGTCCAAACCACGACCAAACAAAAAAACCCAAACTGCCCACACAGGGATTTTTCTTTCCATGAAAAACCACGTCAGCAACACTGCACCATCCAGCAGTCTACAAAAATTGCTGTTCTTGGCCTTACAAGGGACCCTAAAAACAGAGAGCAGGGTCTGCAAAATGCTGGTGGAGCTCATGAAACCTCAAAGGTGCTGTACAGACATTGATAAATAGAGACTAACTTAAACATAGCCATTACTAGCAGTCCACACTAGTTTCTACCCCATCTTTAACACATCTGTGTTCCAAACAGTTGTGGTAGGGTGCACAACAAAACAACTGCTTTACAACTGAAAAATGAAAGCAGAGACTAACAAGACATATTAGAAGTAACAGAAGTGTGGGGGAGGAAGAAATGGTCTGTGTTCCTTGAGTCACTTTAAGATACAATCCCCAGCACTGGGCCATCTTCTCTTGCCCAAGGAAGTATCAACTATTCTAATAAAACACTGTAATAAATTATAAGGAAATATGACTACAGCTGCTAGTAAAAATTTGCAAAACCAGTATTACATCTGGAAGAAATCTGCTCTACAGGGCTGATTTCACACAGGGAAGGAAAAAGTTGCAGTAACATAAGCAGGGCTGAAGAGTTTTATTGTGTTTATAATAAAGATCAACTGGAATTGGAAAACAAACCTGAAGACTGTGTAGCTACTAGACATTCATTTTGCTTTCTCCTCTTTTCCTTCATTTCTGAAGGATGTTCTTGCTTTAAAAGATCTTGATACAAACAGCAAATACATTCAATTATTTACACTACAGCCATCTGGTTCCTAACACACCAAGATGCTTTCGAAGCGTCGGCAGAGAGTAACATGGAGACTGCCTCTCCCACCCACCCCCTGAACTATCCCACAGGCACTGACACACTGTGGGACTGCAAGTGATGGAAACCTGTGAGCAGAAATGTTCTGGTCCCCAGCGAGCTCCTGGTGCAGGTGTGGGGAGTCCCAGCAGAGATGAAACCAGTGGTTATGACCGGCAAGCTGGAGCTGGGCCAGCAGCCCGGCAGGGAGCGTGTGGTTGCACCCAGGCTCTCACAGGTGTCTGTCTCAGGGCAGCTCCACCAGGAACAGCTCTCACAGAGCACAGTTTAAGAAGCCAAAGCATAGAAACAACAATGCTGAAACCAGACAGCTACAAAAGAAACTACAAATTGGGGGATGCAGACCTGAGTGGTTTCTTATTTGTTCTAGAAGGGTGAGCAAGCCCAGATCTGCATGGTTGAGCTGCAACACCTCTGCACTAATATTGCCATCACCAGAGCAGAGAGCCAGTGGGGCAAGCTCTGCTGTCATTTCTCACCTCTGGTCCTCCTCAAAAGGCTGTCACAAATTCTCATGATAAGCAATCTTTTACTTTTGCTAATGGGGGTGTCTTGTCAGCTGTAAGGCAGCACGAGGAGGAATCTGTGGGTTTAGATTCATTCTATCACTCTAGAAAAACAAGCTAATGAACCAATTTAATCACAGACAGAAGCAATGGCTGGCAAAGTTCATTCAGCAGTTCAGAGAATCTTTCCTTACATCCAAAATGTTTATACCCAATACTTCCTTATGAAAGGCTTTCACAGAAATTCCTCTTTACCCCAAATACATCCAGCTCAGCTTTTTCTCAGGAACATTAAATCATTTCTCCAGAGAATAAACATACCCTGGAAAAAACTGAAAATTGATTTTAAGACTACTGAAAGCAACATGTTTTTTTTGTGAGCAGCCAGCAGTGTTCCTCTACCCCTGCAGACAGCAGTGCAACAGCTGTTTCCTTGAAATGGTCTCAAATCTGCACTGAGCTTTGCTAGCTGCAAATTGATGACAAGTGGCAAAACAAACTCAGTATCTCTTTTCAGGGCTCATTAAAAGGAGTGTATATAACCCTGGGTCAGTAACCAAACTGCCTTTTCTTGAGATGAAATTCTCTCTCAAGTCTTACATGCATGATTTAAATACAGTTTCAGATAATTTGCACTGTGTATCTAAAAAGCAGTAGTAAGGTTATTTATCTGCTTTCTTTTGCCTGCTGTTAGTAATCTTTGTCACACAAGATTGTGCAGAGAAATGCACAAACCAGGAAAAAAAAAAGTTTTGCCTAAGTGGAGGGGGAAAAAAATTCCCCTACTTGTACTACGTGGTGTTTTCTTCTCATCCTAAAAGGAGGAATCAATAGATTTACCACACCCTGTCAGCTTCATGCTTTTTTTGCTAAGGCATTAAGCAGCGGGGAGCTGAAAGGAAGTGCCCACGACAAAGCCTGTTTTTTAAAGGAAGTAACAGACAAATAAAATGCAAACTTCACTGTTACATCTCCCTAACTCCAGCTGCACCTTCTTGCACAGTGCCAACCCTCACAAGGCACAGGCACAAGCACTGGTCTGCTCCTCAACAAGAGCTGCGAGCCAGCAGTGGTCTGGAGCCACTCCCTGCACTGCTCTCTCTTACCACAGTGACTTGAACTTGGTTTGTTTTTCACACCTGAGGGACAGCAAAGAGCAACAGCAGAGCCGGCTCTCAGGCTTTTGTGAACTTCCCCCTCCAGTTCAGTGAGCAGGACCTGTGGAGCCAACACCAGACAGTCTCTAAAGCAACTGAAGAGAGCACGGGGAGGAGACTGCTGTCATTTATAACAGTAACTACAACTTGCTTCTCCAAGCCGAATATTTAGAGTTGAAAGGATATAAAACAAGCAGACAGTGAACATTTCTCTTCTTCTGTAGGTGAGGTTGCTGTGCAACCAGCCTGATGAGGAGCACGGGCTCTGGAAATTAATCATGCTCACAATATTCTTTTGCTGCCTGTAACTCACACGCCAAGGGAGCGATGAATAACACAGTTGCAAACCACAATAGGACGTGTGAAAGGAGAAGCATCTGACACACAAAGGGCTAGCTGGCAGTTTACAAGACCTGAGGGTAGAAGGCACCGAGAGAAATCTACAAACAGATATATTTTATCTTGACAGATTAAGAAACACTGCTCATTTGAGATACCACAGGCTGATACCTTTTATTTAAATAATTTCTCTTCATGCCTCAGCTATAAGGCAGAGCACCCAACGGCAGAATCTGGTTCAATGCTCAAGTGCTGATCCTCATTTTCCCTGACAGCATCCTCATGTCTGTTGATCTGAGCCTGGGCAGGTAATTTCAATTACAGCAGAGCTGCTCTAGCCCACAGACTTGTTTTAGGTACCTACATTAAAAGCTGAGCTGAGAAATGGTACAGTCATTGTTTTCCACATGAGACATTCCTGTTTTGTAAACTGTGGCATGATTTACTGTTACAGAATTACAAAATAGTTCAGCAACATTCAAAATGAGAATCAGGACTTACTTCCAATACGCTCAACTCTAATAAAGACTTTCTCCAATCAAGTCCTTCAAGCACAATTCATCTGACCAAATACTTTCCCCCATTCATGCTAGGAGAAGTCAAGGTCAATAATTCTGGTACTGACACCTTCATAGAATTATTTAGGTTGGAAAAGTCCCTTAAGATCATCAAGTCCAACCCTTAGCCCAGCACCTCTGTGTTCACCCCTAATCCACACTCCTAAGCACTACACCTACATGTCTTTCAAATAGCTGAGGTGGGATCCTTCTCCCCAACTCCATCACTATCTGGATGTTGAGGGTTCTGACCTGCCCAACTCTCAGAAGCACAGATGGAGCAGCTTGAAAAGAAAAACCTGGCTTCCATCTGTCACAAACTGGGCACACCACATTCACACCCTCTTTGGACAATTAGCCCTTCCTATCTCAGACTTCCAGGTATGTACCATTTTCCAATCTCACAAGGATAATCTGAAGAAATATTAAGGATAATTTTGATGAATTCAAATGCTGTAGTGAAAAAAACAAACACAGGAAAAATAAATAAAGCCCAAGGAAATATCTGTCTTAAAAGAAAATGCCCCAAACCTGTTTGTGTGTTTGAAAACTATTTGGACCATGCCCTAAATGAGTCACAGAATATCCTGAGTTGGAAGGGACCCTCAAGGCCACTGAGTCCAGCTCCAGGTCCTGCACAGGACAGCCCCACAAATCCCACCATGTGCCTGGGAACACCACCAATAACCACATGCTTTTAATTGCAGTCAGCCCTGAATTGGTCAAGCAGTAGGACTTGATGATCATTTCCAGCTGAAATTGTCTATTCCACTCTAAATTACTGCAGCAAGGACTCTCATGTCATAACAAAAACTAAGTTGCTTCTTGTGTATTCACAGAACTGAGAAAATTGCAGTCAAAGCCTAAGTTCTGTGCTTTAGAACAGACAACTTCTCTGGAAAATATTAACTAAATAATTACATCACTGGCACAGACATATTTACACTCCTAATCCTATTATTCTCCTACTGTAGACAGCATTTATCATAGAAAAAGACCTGTGGAACAGAATAACATCAAGTAGGTTTTGCTTGGTGGTTTTTTTTGTTTGGTCAGGGTTTTTACTTTAATGGTATTTTTTTTTGTTTGGTTGGTTGTTTTTTTTTTTCCAGGAGCACTTCCAAGAAGACAATGCTATTACTTGCTTGATCTTTGTAGCATTTCAAGTTTTCACAGAAGAAACAATTATAAACAACCTGTTGTTCACTTACCCTGCTGTCTCTGTACACATCAAAAACAACTGGAAAGGAGAAAAAAATGTTAATTGTAAAAGATATATAATTTCACAGAAAATGTCTAAATCTGAATAGACACTTGTGTACACAGCACAATCTGGAAAGTGAATAGGTCTAATGAACTGCAAGCCAGAATTGGGTATACTTCTAAGAGGGAGCTGAAATGTTTCAAAAACTATTGTTAAGGCACAGCCCAGCTTAATCAGCTGCTGGGCTTTTCCATTTAATGCTGGTTTCTTCTGCTGATTTTTCTTCCATGAAGAATATTTGATAAACTCTTGCCTAAAGAGCTTATCTTTGACATTACTGCTGTTTCTTTTACAGCAGAACAGAGATGTTTCAGAGAAGGATCAAGACTTCATTGTGTTGGACATTGCACAAACATTTAATAAGAGAAGGTTCCTGCTCCACAGACATCAAGATTTCAGCAGCTAACAAGACAAACAGGTTGTAGGAACAAAGGGGTTAGTGGCAGTGAAATGGCCATGTTTGATGTCACCCAGAGCAGACACAGCACACCTAATTAATATCAACAAATCCTTCAAACAAGCCCCTTGCCACTCAGTGACTGACTCAAAGCTGCCTTGCCTGGCTCCACTGCTGTTCCTCCCCTTGGCTTAATTAAACATGACTCTGTATATGCAGCTTTCCATCAGCTCCTGTTCTGTATGCTTAAACAAACCTTTGAGCTGTCTTTCTATTGAGCTAGGGAAATCAACAGGGAAGCATTCAGGCATGGCTACATGCAAAAGTTGTACCAGTTTAGCAGGAAGAAAGGAAAAATAAAATAAAAAATATTTTGAAAAGCCTCAGACAAGTGCTATATTGTTACTTCCTTCACTAATAAGGGAATATTTCAGCTAAGAGATTTCCCAATACATGTGGATAAACTAAACTCAGGATATGACTGCAGAACACTTGAGGCTCAGGAAGCTGCCTGTCAGGAACAGGGATGTTGACTGATCACATCCATGCATGTAAAGCTTATTCTGACATTTTATGTGAAGTTGGCTGGGCTAAGGGCAAACCACAACTCCACAAAGCCAAAGCCAGTCACGTAGCTGGTTTTTACCATGCAGCCTAAAAATCCACACAGCTTTTGCACAAGCTGGGCTGCACCAATGCCAAAGTCACTCCAGGATTAAGTGCTCTGCTCCCCCAGGAAGACAAGCCCTCAGTGGCTAAGCCAGTCATCAATGCAAAGGGGGGTACAGGAACCCCAGGATTTCTTCTCCAGCTGTTCAACTGAACTTAGTGCTTGCACCACATCCTCTCCTTAGTCACATCCCAAAGATATCCCTTGCATCTGAGGGTTTCTATAGTGAGGCCTGTCAGCCTAAAGCAAGCCCATGGCAATCACTGAGGCTAGTGGTATTTATTGGGATTCACACAGCTGGAATTCAGACTGATTGCACTCTGGTGACTGGTTCAGGGCAGTCACAAACACTGAACAAGAAGAAAACCTGAATTATTCCCACTCTCAGAGCAGGAGTGTCCTATGCCAGTGAGACTGTAGTGAAACTTCACCAGAAACTGCCCTAAGCAGAGGGAAAGCCAAAGCCCAGCTCTGCACTCTCGACACCTCCAGAACACTGCTCTTACTGGGCTCTTATCAAAGGTATTTAGAAGGTTCTAACATAATTTAGAAGTATTTATAAAGCATTCACCCATCTGTTATCCTACTGCTCTGACTCTGCAATGCTTCAGCTGCTCTGACTCAACTCTTCCATCTGGAGATGCTACCAGACCAACTGGAAAAAGCAGAGCAAACAGCATCAAAATCCCCAATGAAACAAGAAGTCAAGAAAAAAGCTGTAATACCTTTCCTTTTAAAAGCAAACAAACAAGCAAACCCAGATTTTTATTGTTAACAACACATATGCTACCAGGCAGTGGATCAAGGGAGATGATGGGGGATAAATGCAATGTGATTTAAAAAAAAACTCCACCTACAAAAACACAGAAAACATTTTCTGCATGGCATTTCTCTGCAGATGGACCAGCACTTAGTGCCTAAGAATAAAAGGTTAACAAACCTTCATCCCAGAAGGTTTCCCTGAAACCTACTTTTCCCTCAAGGCAACTCAGATAGCACCTTTACATAAGATGACGTTTCAGACCTTTCAGTTCACCAGACAGCCATTTCAGAGCCTAAATCTAGGCATCAATATCCAAAAATAGTGCCCTGAATTCTTATCTATCAGTTGATTACATACTAGCTAAAATTACATTGAAACACAGAGGAAAATTAAAAGGCAGTAATCAGAATGCCAGATCTATATGACTGATCTTACTTCAAAATGCAATGGAGTTATTAAATTAATGTACTATTCTACTGGTCTTCTCCAAGCAGCAGTCCATGAGAACTTCTCTGGGCTGAAACAGAGCAGCTTTGCAGAGTCAAATTATTAAGAATTTCAATACAACAGAAACTGGTACTTGAAGGTACCTTTTTCAGACAGAGAGGACAGATCTATTTGACTGCTCTGGTGTATCAATAAAACAATTAATAATGTTTAAAACCCACCTAAAGGTTGACTTTTCAAAGCATTAGACATGACAATAAAAATGCCAGAAAATTCTTATGTTTATGGGTTTTTACTACGCTGAGGTTTGGTCCATGCCAGACCTAATTTAAATTTCTTCATCGTGTTTTTTACCACTATTGATCACCCATTGTGATGCAACACCATTCAATTATCACTAAACCATGTCAGAAAATTATTTCAAATCAAATTTGCAAAGGACTTCACATTTAGAGAACAACACAATTTACTTGGACTGATTAGGTGTATCAAATACTATGGCCTTTATTCAAAGGTTTTGGCACCTAACCTGGTGTGCATTGATATTCTAGAAGAAATAATTAAAACTTCTTGAAAAGAAACTTAAAAATCCTTTATTCAGGGAATACATCAATAATTTAGCAGCAAACATTTGACAACACCTTTATGAACAAGTATTCTTCTCACTACTTAATGTCTTTTGTCAAGAATATTTTTTAAGATCTTTTTCCCTGCTTTTCTGGCATAAAAATTATTTTCACGTATAAGGGGGAAAAGCCTTAAAAAATTATTATGACTTCTGAAGGGATCTTTCACTCATTTCTTGTGTTTTCTTGGAGAGTTCCAGCCCTTCCTTCTGGGTTTTTGTCTTTGGAATGTAATTCCAAACCTTTGCAGCTACATGCTGTAGCCACAAGAGCTCTCAGACTCTCCCAAGCTAAAGAGAACCAAGCCCTGTGAAAGCAAGAGCAATGAAGAGAGAGATGCATACCCACAGATACCCCCAAGATACTTACAGTCTTCATCCAAGAATTTATATTGTATGTGTTTCTTGAAAAACTCCTGTATGGACCTACAGATCTCCTCATGTTGCTTAGAGATATGATCGTAGTACTGGGTGTAGTCTCTCTGTGATATACCTGTCAATAATTTCAGGAAATTGTAATTATAAAGAGCTCTAGGCATGCAAAAAACACAAGAAAAGAAACCAGTTATCAGACAAAGAAGATGGGGTTTTCCCAAGTTTCTACCATTATTAGTGACTTACTGTTTGGCTTCTTTCTTCTATACTTTAAGTACTTCCATTAGGAAGTTCTTTATTCCTTGAACAGCTCTGTCCAGAATTTTGTGAACCTCATTTTATATGTACACACTTTGACTATTTTAAAGTGAATTTCAGGAGGAGACTTTGCCTGTGTTTAAGTTTCCAGCTCCCATCTTTTCCTTTCAGTTTTAATCCCTTTGGTTAGTCTGGTCAAAAACCTTGCTCAGCACATCACATGCAGGGACCACAATTGGGAACCATGAAATGCCAGGGGTGGAGGCTAAGCTTGCACATTAGCTAAGATGATCCTTGGATACCACAGATTCTCATTTAACTGATTTTTTAAGTGTGGAATAACATGTGCCTGTTTGATAAGGCTCTACAGGTGAATCCCTAAATCCCCAAATCAGTGGGATGGCATGCAGGCCAGAACCTTGGTGCTCCCATTTGCTCCCTCAAAGGTTTTGTTGCCTATGTAGACAAACCATCCCTCCCAGAAGTTCTTAACTTCATACATTTGTCTACAAGACACTGGTTTAAAATGACATCAACAGGATTATGCACTTGCATGCATCTTGAGTGACAAGAGTTCTCATACAGGATATGTGCCAACATAAAACATTGCAATACCCTGCCTGACAAATGTCAAATCCAAGACCTGCCCCATCACTGCAGAATGAGTAATTCAGGCTATTTACATATAAAAAGAGACAGAATTCCCCAAGGAAGATGTATCAGTGACCTCAGTTTGCTGTTTTAACCATACACAAAACACAGAATTTTACTGTAAGACAATGCTGACTAGGGCCAAAGGTGAGCTGTTTTTTAAAAAGTTCATATAAAAAGTTTGCAATGTCAGTGGAACTTTTAATTTTTAATACCACTGCAAAGCTTGAGTCTAGAAAACAAAAACCAAAAGATGATGGCATCTAAGGGCATGCAGATGTGTAACTGGAAAATCATTCACTATACTGCAAGGATCATTCCTTAGTTTGACTGACAGGCTTATTAATTTTAACAGTATGGGAACATATTGTGAAAAATCTTGGAACTATCTTCAGAAATGCAGCTGGAGTGCTAACTAAAAAAAAAAATCCCATACTGGCAGATATACTAGGTTTCAAAACCTGGCCATGAAATGTACAGAGTGCTTAATTAGCCAGGGTACAAATGCTTTGTATCTCTGGCAGTTAAGGTGTTCCAGCATCACAAGGCAGGACAGGATTCAGCTCTCCTCCCTTCAAAAAGCTCTGTCAGGAGCCATTAAGCAATACAGACTTAATGGGAAATCTCTGCTATTAGGAAGATTAACTCTGTTACAGAGAGCTGTAATACACTTGCAACTGGCATAAATGGAGAGAAAATGGGAAGATGAGCATAGGAACACCAGACAGAACAGTCACATAAAAGGGCTTAGGAGAATGGTGAGTGTTGATTAGCACAGCTCAAATACCTGTGTGCAGCTCCATAGGGAACCCAAATCAGGAAATGAAGAATGGGGAGTGTGCTCCTAAAGGTTCACAGAGGTGGGACTGGATGGAGCAACACATTGCTGAAGTTCCCAACAGGTACAAAAAGGCACAGCCAAAACAAGGCCACACTCACCATGCTAAGACAGAAGGAACAGTGAGAACTACAAAGCCAATATCCCTGGCCTTCCATATCATCACAAGGAACCCTGGATAGACCATTTGTGGATATGGACTTGGTGCTTGTGAATATAGGCAAAGTGAGCAAAACTAGTTTTATCTTAAAGCAAAAAAAAAAATCCCCTTTCTTCCTGTAGAGTCTGTATTTGCTCCATCTTGCTTGTGAATATAGGCAAAGTGAGCAAAACTAGCTTTATCTTAAAGCAAAAAAAAAAAAAAAAATCCCCTTCCTTCCTGTAGAGTCTGTATTTGCTCCATCACTGCTGTAACACTTCCTTGTTAGAAGAGTTTAGGCAGAATTATTCAACCTTGTTCAGAACAAATGTGCACTAATCCTGTGCTATTTGAGTTTCTGTTCATCTCTAAAGATTTCATGGTAGACCACACCAAAATCAAACTTCAGAGTAGTAATTAGCCTGAAATGAAACCCTCAATTCAAGCACCTGTATGTGCACTGGGTATCTCATTTCCTGCTACAGTCAGCAGAGAACAGTCAACACAACCAGAGGAGTAAAACTGAGCTAAATTTACCCTAAATTACCCTAAATCTACCCTACTCAGCTGCCTATAACACATGCTCTAGGCACAATCTGCCTGTTCTCCAGCTGCCAGAGGTCTCCCAATGCACCCACCAGCTCTGTGCATGCTGTGGATTGTTCTGTGGCTCTTCAGTGCCACTTGACATGTTTTACATTTAGGATTCTGCACTTGAGTAAGAGAACAACAGGCTCTACCTAAGCTACACTGAATTTAATATGAACTCAAGACACTCCCTACACCTGTGGAGATGTTCTGACCTCCCCAACTTTCTATATATAATATCCACATGGGGTCATGTATTTACAACACAACACACAACTGCCTCTGTAGTCATTCTGCAACCTGGAGACAAAGCAATTTGCTCCTGAATATAAAAGACTCTGCCTCTGGGTGAAGTTTCTGAATTAACAATTAAATTAAGAATATTTCCACTGTAATGGCAAGCATGCTGAGCTATCAGGCTTTCAAATACAGTGGAAAGTGAGATGTGGTAAACCACGTTTTAAATTGCAGAAAGAATAAACCATTAATTTTAGAAATGAGGTGTGAAAAGAAAGAGCTTTCTTCAGACTTAGCTCTCATTCAAGGAATTAGAGAAACTCCTCAAAACTTCATCCAATAATTTTGTTTTTAAGAAATTCCTTACCTAAAAGCTTGTTTTCCTTGACAAAGCATCTGAATTCTGCACCAGGGATTAATTCACACCATTTGCGAAGAACAAGCTGTGGAGGAAAAACAAATGACAAAGCATTGTTTCAGAAAAGTAACAGCATCCTTTTGTCAACAGGTCTGCCTTTTAGAGCTACAGTTTCACTGTAATGATAACATGACCACTGATACTAGAAAACAAAATAATCTTAAATTTGCAGTTCACATAATCATCTTTGAAAATATTTCAAAACAATTAGATTTGATATTAATTTCAGAGAATCACAGAATGCTTTCAGTTGGATGGTATCTTTAAAGATTGTATAGTCTAAACTAGTTTAAGGCAGAAAGGTTCAGATTGGACATTAGAAACCACAAGAACTGTCAAGCATTGGAAGAGATCCCTCACAGAGGTTGGGCAGCCTCTACCCACTGAGGTTTTCAAGACAGATTTTATAAAATGCCAAGCAAGACAATATGATCTCATTCCTTACCCAGCTTTGAGCAGGAGGATGGACTAGACACTTCCTGAGGTCTCCACTCACATTATCTTATGCTCTTCCACTTTGTACAGTATTTATAACTGTGAAGTCATTTATGAAACAACTTCCAAGTTACATTAATGATAAAGCATGGAAAATAAAAACCCTGCTGTACAACACAACAAATCTGTCATGGAATTGGCAGAAAGTTGCTCCCTAGTCAAAGGAGCTGATGAGCAGAATTAAATTTATCCAAATCAACCTCTATTCTGGTACACACCCAAGCAGAATTCTGTGACGCCTTTGAAGGCGCAAACCAGTTAAAATAAGGACACAGGGCAGAAATAGAAAGCAAACTATTATTGTCAATAGGACAGACTGCCTGGGAATTAAAGCATCTTTCTGGCACTTTCTCAAGTTTCTGTATTTCCTAAGCTGAAATATCTGAAGGATTGATGCTTTTGAAGGCCCCAGTTACTGCTGCTGGATGCTGGCAACTCCCAAACCTTTAAACTGCAGCAGAAAGCTTCAGTAACCAGAGATGACATTCCTAACTACAGTATTAACATTAAACTCTTTGTTTCAACTTTTACATATCCTGTATCTTTAAAGCACACTTGATAGTGCTTTTAAAGCACTATCACCAAGGCTCATTCACTTTTGAAAAGCCCTTTAAGCCCACAGCATGATGACAAATGTTATATTTTCATAAAAACTATTATTAGAGAGATGACTAGATGTTACCACAAGAGCAGTAGCTCCACATTAACAGTTGAAAGCATTTCTAGCTGAACATTTTGATCTGGTAACAAGCATAGGAAACCATATGTGACAGACCAGTTCAGGATGTCCCCAGCCACTGCAGCAAGCCTCACCCTTGGTAACCCCAGTGTGATATTCACAAGCAGCTCACCATCAAGCATATATTACTTTGAGCTACTGAACTTGTCCTTCCTGTCACAGCCTGACAGACATGAGAGGACACTGCCAGGAAGCTTCTCAAGTCTGCACTTTAGCCCACCTGATCTGCAATTAAATAAACTTCTTATGACCTGCTGTGCTGAACCAGACTTCCCTTCATATTGAAAGCAACATGAATAAAACAAACACAGCACATTTAATGGACAGAAACCCAGTCACAAATGTCACCCAGCCTGTGAGCAATTCTTTTAAATTACTTAGAAATCACGCAAGGAGTCCTACCTCATAGTTCAAGGAAGGATCAGGGGAATCATCAGTACAGTGAATAAATCTGGAAAAGTAAGGCACAGGCTTCAAAATCTGCTTTACATGTAAGATTTTAGCAATAGTGAGAAACATGAGAACTACTGTTAAATTATTTTCAATATGTACAAAGCAAATAAATGCAACACATAACAACTCCCCTTTTGACAATTATGGGGGAAAGAACCAGAATCATCACCTCTTTTATTCTAGCACAATTTGGAAGCACTTAAATCCGGACAGGGATGTGTCCAAACGTCAGTGTTTATTCACTGCTGATTTATTTCTGTTTGAATCAACAGTGCTGCTCTTTTCCCCTTGTATTGTTATGTTGGCATAACTGAATTCTCAACAAACCCAATAAACTTGAGCAATCTAATCCAGTTTCACTGCAGCATGTTTTGCCAAGTACTTTTAACGTTTAACTTCCCAAACCACACAACAGAGACACATCATCATGCCTTACAGCAGTTCATTTCCATGAATAAAGGATGCAAAACAGCGCTGCTGCTCGGCACTCCTGATTCCATAGCATGGTATTTTCTAAATTAAGAGCCTGAAGAAATACTCTTACAAATCCCTTGAGAGTGGGAATAAACAAAACTATTTCCACAACTCCAAGCAGATGTCAAAGTTTTGTCCCTTGTGAGCAGCTGACTCTGTCAGTCTCCTTTCAGGAGCTAGCAAGAATGGAGGAAGTCACAAGCCAAGTCAACTTCCATGTACCTTTTTGTAATTTTGCAGTAAACCTTGCAATAGATTCTGTAACTTTCAAAAGGTATTCACAGAAGAACATGTGTTTTTCTTCCAATTCTACTCCTTGACTTTATTGGCAACAAACTACTTGGAAGCACAGAACTGTGTTAAGGGTCACTGCTGAGCAATAGCCCTAAATACAATATTTATAGGATCTCCTTTTGGCAGAGAACTTCATTCAGCAACCCAAAAGTCTCACATAAACATCGCATTTGTAAGACATGGCTTCCCAGCTTTTGGTTTGAAGTGAAGAGCTATTGTAAGAGTTCATTCTGTATGCTGCCAGCAGAAATAAATTTCACACATTTTAGTTTAGACTTTAATATCCACAACACACAGAAAAGTAGGGCAATACAGGCAGGCTTTCCAAAAGCACAGTGATCAAACACATCACATATATCTATCTGTAAGCCTGTGTAAACAGATAACATCCTTCAACTACAGTTTAGATTCCCCGCAATTTAAGATCTGTCAAGGCAACAGAAACAAACCCATGAGAGCTCACAGTTTTGCTAGAGTCAGAATTCCTCCTTTACTAGAGTACATGCCTATCATGCTGAAGAAAATATCCCCCCCACACACAGAGCCAGTAATAAACTCTATCCACAAAGGCAGCTGAAGTCCAGCACGTGGAGTTTTACAGTGCCTGCACACGAGGACCTGCATTGCCTCTCACAGACTCCACATCTGAGATTGGGGTACCTGCAATCTGCTTCATTCCATAACAGTGTTTTCCAGCAGGCAAAATAACCCAGCCTTATAATCAAAATTATTCCCTAACTCAACCCTCAAATATTTTGGGTAAAAGCTATGTGGGGAAAGATGGTTCCTCTTCCCTTGTAAATCAGAAAATTAAATGCTTGGGTGCCATCCCAAGCTCCACAGACTGTGCAGGTGTCACTGCCAAATCAAGCAAACAGGAAAAAATACTGCAATACACAGCAAGGGTATTTTTTTTTGAGCCTCAATGACACAGGACTAAGAACAAATGAGGGAAAAAATGGGTGAACACAGCACAAGACAAAAAAACCTCATGTTTTTGTAATCTAATTTTCCTTCTTAATATTATCATGAATTTTCATTAACAAAAGGCCACCTTCTTTCAGGGAGTAAATTTTGGGTGACTTGAGGTTGCAATTTTATATTTTTTACCAGCTCACTGTAGCATTTGTTGCTGAGACCCATCTGAATTTGTGTATTACAGATGGGCTTTTGATCTCTAGAGGAACAATGCTAAGTGGGGTGTCTTCGACCCACATCCTATTCAGGTCTGGACATACTTGAAAGAACAATCAGAAAGATGTCAGGAACCCCAAACTGAGACATGCCTGGGCTGTATTTTCTGAAGCCTCTGAAAACTGTCATTTTGAATACTATGGGTGAAAGGATCAAACTTCTCTTGTGTTTTGGTCAACAGCTTTTTTACAGAGCTACACTTAGAAGTAAAGACCAGAAGGATCAAGATCTCTTTATATGTGGCAGCTCTAAAACTCCAAATGCGAATACTTGACCACAGAATATGCTACAAAAAGTGATTATGCAGGTCAGTTTTCAACACTAAGAAAAGCAATTTAATAAGGCTGGCAAGTTTCTCCAGTACCTACCCTGCTAAGAAAGTCATTAACTCATCTGCAAATCACTGAGAGAATTAGAAACTATTATGATGAGAACTGTAAAATTTATTCTGTACCTGATACTTCCCTGTTATTATCTCATGGTTTATTTTAAAATCTTATTTAAAAAATAATAAGGAGAAGTTTTAACAGCCTTTGGACTGTATCTTTATTCCTTTAATATTAAACCTTGCTGGAACTCAGAGGCCTAAAAGAAATAGGAAATTCATACACCACGGAAAAGAGAATCTTGTACCACACTGTAAATTGCTTGGAAAAATGGGCAAGAGTAAAACCTCAAGATAAAAAAAAAATTGCCATCAAAGGCCTCATTTTCCACATCCTCTCATGTGCAACTGCCTACCTTGAAACAGTTTATATTAAAGCCTAAACTGTCAGCTCCTGCAAAAAGATACTGGAGTGCTAAGGCACATTATTCATGATCCAACACTGCCTCCTATGTTTTGTTAGGAGAACAGGCTGTTATTCCTCCACATCTCAAAAAACTTTGAAATTTCCCTACAATTTAGAATTCAATATTAAAAGGATTAAGTCTGGCATCAGAAAGGTTGTCAGAATGCAGAGGTATTATCACATCATTAGAAGTACTGCTAATATTTCTACCAGTCTCAAGGTGAGCAATCAACCGTGTTTTAACAAAACATAATCCACCCATTCTAACAATAACGAAGAAAACTGTATTTTACACCAAAACTGTATTTTACATCCATCAGGGCTATACAGAGCTTTCTGTTTAAAAGAGGAGTTTTAATCACCTAACAGAAATCCCAGTTAGAAAGGGATTTTTTTTAATCACATATATTCAACACTAAATTTCTGAAAGCCTACATTAATGCCTGAAAAATTAAGATTACACCACCCACAAGATTTTTTTGAAGTAAAATACAATGCTGACTTTGAAGCAGAAACAACATCATCTGCATTAATGAGTGTATCACTCTGAAGTCGTTAATTTATTTAAAATTAACATGCTGGAAAGGTAATTCATTAGTCTGAACTCTTCAACCAAGGTGTCAGCATCATGAGAGAATCCAAACTTTTAAAACAGTCAAAGCAATTTAATCATGCTCAGTATATTTGCACTGAGTGCATATTTTTTAATAGTTTTTATTGAAGCATTACATGGTTGAAGTTTTCTCAGAACTTGGGACAGTTGAGAATTACAACAAGGGCATTCCCTGGGCTGAACAACGTTTAGAGGCAGACAGGAAATGAGAGAGGAAGGAAAGGGCAAAGAAAGTGGTTTGCCTTAAATCCCACATCATTGGCTTAAATTTCCAGGTCAAAACCCAGATCTACAAATTGCCATTGCAGCACGTTTACCGTATTACGACCCATGAAGTGGATATTTAAGTTTATAAAATTGCACATGAAACAAAACAACAACACCAAAAAGAGGGTATTCAGCATTTCAGTTGTTACTTATATAGGGCAAGAAACCTTTAGACCATACTGAGTATTATTGACAAAGTAGAAATATAGTACATTTCTCCTCTCTCCAAGTAGTCCTTCCAAGGGATTTGGATGCATTATGCATGTAATTTTCATTTGTTCAGCACTTCAGGTTCTTATGCCAGCTACATTTTTAATTTCTGCTTGCTAAGGACTAGTGAGCTGGCAGCTAATCAATAGCATAATTAAGGACGACCACTGTTCTGATTTAGCAATAATCATTGCACTGTTTGGGGACATTCTGTACAAATAACTTTGTAATTTAGAAGTGCCAAGCAGAGACTGGACAATAATATATACTTTAATCAAGTATGACATAGTCATAAATTACAAGATATACACAGAGGCCAAGGTGATTTCCCACAATCATGACATAAGCTTGGCTTTTTTACCACCTTAGTTGTCCTATCTGGTGGTCTTATCACATTGGAAAAGGAGCCTAAATTGAATGGACCAGTGGAGTTTGAGGTGTTGCCTTTCTGTAAGAGGTTATGTGGCATTCACATTCTCTGAAAAAATCCCTTTGCCCAGGATTTTTCTCTCGGGAAGCTGAGAAGCCTCAGAAAAAGGAAAACAATTCTTATCTCATTTGCTTCTCCTGTGTTTTGCTCATGTGGAATGTGTTTGGAGATTGTTTCATTGGATTCTGGTGTGAGTTGTTTTCACTCATTGGCCAACCAATGCCAAGCTGTGTTGGGACTCTGGAGAGAGTCACAAGTTTTCATTACTATCTTTTTAACATTCTGTAAGTATCCTTTCTGTATTCTTTAGTATAGTATAGTTCAGTATTCTTTAATATAATACAGTATCATAAAATAATAAATTAGCCTTCTGAGAACATGGAATCAGCTTCATCAATCCACCCTGCCATGGGGGCCCCTGCACGTACACTAAGGTTACTCTCCCACAGCAGGATCAGGAGGAGGGAATGTGCCTGCTATGGGCTGCTCAGCCACCACTGCTCTTGTGTGAACTTCAGGTGAAATCACTGATGCTTCAAGGCAACAGCCATGCTGTGAAACCTCACACCACAGCCACCAGTGTCCTCACTGTCCACCAAGCCAGTGCTGACTGCAGGGGTGAAGAGCTGGGGCACTGACTGATTTCAGTATCAGTGAAGGTGGTTGAACCAATTCATTCTACCAATTCATACAAAGAGTTGCCACATCTAAATCAAGTGGCACTTGCTGAACACTTGCCTGTCTCTGAGACTCACTGGAAAACAGTTAATCAAACAGAAATTCTGCAAAGAGCTCTGGGTACTTTTTGCTGGACCTCTTTATGCATGAAGACAGTAAATACAGACTCCATACTGTTTAACATTCACAAAGGGATGATGCAAAGTGTGCAGTCCTGTTCAGACCTACAAGAATCAGTCCTGAAAGCCACTGCAACAAAAATTTTACTGCTCAGTTTTGTGAGCAAGCCATCCTCCAGACACCCCACCTCTCATTAGGGGAAACCATGAAAAGCAGCTCCTTGGGAAGGCACCAAAGGCTTCTGAGAATTCACTCACCTCAGACATGTAAACTATAGATTTCCCATTCCCCCATTCCTTTCATTCTCTGCGACCGCAGAATCATGAATTCTCATTCTTCACAATTGTTTCCCAAGCCAAAAGTACTTTTCAAACTGTTTTATCACTCCAATATCTTCTGCCCTCCTCCTCAGTCTCTTCCCCAGCACCTCCTTTCATTGCAGGTTAAACATGATGTAAAACCCAACATCAGAATTTGACTTATAGCCTTGCTGTCAAGAGCCCCCTTTTTTTTTTCATGCACCAAAAACTGGGGAAGAGAGCCTCATTAGAGCCGCAGTTGCACAGCATTAATATAACTGGCCTCACACTTTAAAAAGAAAATTTTTATCAAGACATAAGCCACTTGACATGAAACTTACACCTCTTAACCCCCTATAAGGCAGCTAGAACAATGGCTTTGCATTTGACTGAGTCTCCCAAAATATCCTGTACAGTAAATAAGCATTGAATAATTACTGGAAAAGAATCTCTCAGATACCAAGCCATGGACTGTCCCTTTTCTTTGAAATTCTGCTTGTCTAGGAAAAACAAAGAAGTAACCATAGTAACAGAAATATCAACTCCAGTAATCTCATTTTCTTTCAGAAAAATGCTGTATTTTAGAAATGAGTGACATAAATCAAGGAGATGCAGGTACCTACAGGAGGAAATTGTTCCTATACAATTAAATACTCCCTTCATGTGAGCAGATAAAAATCAACCCTGAACACATCATATTTTTAATTTTATCTGTAACTGCTATCCTTAGACACCTGGAATGTATTTGTTTTAAGAGCTACAAGAACTTGGGCTCAGAACAAGCTCTGGAAATATGTGAAATATGTTAGCAGAAGTCTCAAGCACCTTTCAGGCAGCCACATAAACCTCAACAGCTTTAAAATAACAGGACATGGTAAAGTCACACTGTATTATTGTAAGAAGTGGCACCAATAAGGAGGGTAGCAACAAGCAAACACCAAGAGGGGTGGGAAGGCAAAAAATCTCAAGAATACATGACTTGTCTAGAAAGGTAGTCAAAAAAATTTGTTCTTAGTTCATAGTGTCAAAGCACACTGGTTGCATGTGCTGCTTTGATGTGTTTCTGGTTTGCTTTTGGCTTTTTGTGGCTGTGTATAACCAAGATTGTCTGCTGGAAATCGACTTACGGCTGAGTGAGGTCACGAGTGATGAAGTCTGAACTCTTGAAGAGGAGGAAGATGTCACTGAGAGCTTTACATTTCAGAGAGCTGTTCATTGCTATCCAGTAGGCATCCTAAAGAAACACAGAGATTACCCGAAACACACCTTTATGAGCAGGAGAGACTGAAAACTTCAAGTCTATCTAAATATCATGCAACGTTTGAAATACATGCAGAAAATTATTTCTTTTTATTTTGAGGTAAATTTCATTAGTGGTTAAAAGAGACAAAATAGTGCTTGTTTTTCTTATGAATACTCTGATGAAAGCAGTGTAAATTCATTTGCAAAAATAAGTTTTTGCCTGCTTCCAGGAACTTTCTTGGGTGGAATGCTTGACTGAACACAATATCTCTTCAGAACACATACCAACAATATTTGTGTGCACTCATCCTTACGGTATAGTTAAGAGTACCTAAAATTAACTAGAGGAAAGTTTATTGCCTTTTTTTTTTGAAACTGGGGTACTTTTCATCTTTATACCAGGTAAAGTTTTCAACTAGTATCCTGACCAAGAAGAGTCTGCCCATCACACAACAGTCTGTGACCAGGATATAGGTTTTAGATAAGAAAGTCAGTGCTGCCATGCATCAGCCTCTCTAAAAATGTCTATCACCATCTAGTGATAGACAAGATATCAGTGAAGTGCTAGATTCTACTTAAAGAATCCACCACTTCACTGATATCTTGTGTATCACCTCTTCCTGCATCAGAACCACTAGTCTCTTCCTCTTTCCAAAGCACTGAGAGAAAACAAACACAAAACATTTTGTATGACAACATCTGAGCCAGCATTCTTACCCTTGGAGCACTCCAGTTTAGTTTAGGAAAAACACTGCCACCCAAGGAACTTATTGCTTCCTGAACTTTAGCTGTGAACTCGGGAAATTCTGGTGCCTGAACAAAGAACAACAGCAAAAATATAAATTTCAATCCATTTAATAGTGAAGTGTAGCCATCTTCTAAATACTATCAGAAATAAGTCCAAAATCAGTATGAACCTCAGAAACATAGAGCACAGTAAAATCACTTAAATAAATCACTTAACAGTCACCATAAAAACTGCAATAGCTGGCAAAAATACAAGTCAAATAACCAAACCTTAAATCCTTACCTGTTGGTTTATATCCTATGGTAGATTATTGCATACAAATAAGATCCAGTAATATTTAAACTTCTAAAGAGTGATTTTAGAATTAAACATATCTTTATCAATTCATAGGCAATATGAGTGACAGCTGCTCATTTAGGCTCTAGTTTTATAAAATGTTAGCAATACTTTAATCAGCTCTTCAGTTAGGTCTTAAAGTAGCTGCTTAACAATATATTGATTCAAAATAGAGGACACACTGCAAAGGTTGGACTAGAAAACCTTGCCTTATAAAGAACATTGAAAATGTAAGATTGAGGTAAAAAAACCTCCAACTCTTCAGATTGCTCCAAACTACTCTGAATGTGGTGCTACAGAAGAAAAAACCAGGTTGCTGACCTTTAAAATAATATGAAAGGATTTGAAGCATATGTCAAAGATTTTTCATATAAAAGGATTTATAGCAAGAACTATATAGGAACATTATTTCTACTTATTTTGAAACTCAATTCAAAAGTAACTCCTAGGCTAAAGCTAATTGAGCCTCTTAAACAACAAAACCCTCACAGCCATAGAAATGAATAAAAAACCTCATACATTCTGGCATCTCCTCACTGCAGCTTCCCCAAATGCAAACACTTTAAAAAACCTGACATTTTAGTGCACTGACCTAGACTGAACTTCAAGCATTCTGAACCTTTCCCTCGTACATTACCTGGTCTCCATGGGAAATTACACTCGGAAAACTGAAAAAAACTTCTCTAATTTTATTTTTAGACTTTCAGCTGATTCTAGAAACTGCTCCTACAAGAAGTAAAACTCTTCATCCACTGTATTCTGATCCAAGCTTCTCTTGTTTTGACAGGAATCAGGAGTCCTACTATATATGTAATACCAGCACATACTAAGCCTCCTTGGGAGAATGTTACCAATGTGTTATTTGATTAACACAAGGGGATAAATATATATACAAGAGAAAAGTTCTACAACTGCATAAACAAGCTGGACTCCAACATTTCCTGAATTTTGAATTCCTGGCTTTGTAACCATTAATATTAATGGGTTTTTATTCTAAAACCAGAATTTTCTGCCCCTCCACTTCCCTCATGGGGAAGCTGCAGACTTAGATATACTAGAGTCATTTGCCCTGTGCTCTTCTGACAGGTGAATAGCTCTTAATTATGTATTTCCTTATTGTGTTCTACATTATAACAGAACCTGATTCAAAACTCTGATATTACATATTTAGCATCATTACCATGAGCTTTGCAAACCATATGATGGATTCTAAAACCCTTGTTTTAAATAATGTATAACTTAAGGAATCTAGGTTATCAAAGGTTAAATATTTGAACTGAAGATTAATCAGTGTGCACACATTTGAAATGTATTAGTTTCAAACTCTAGGCTATAAATTCTGTGCTAGCAGAAGCACCACTCAAATCAGGGTTGTGAATATATGGAACCTAATCCAACATGAGCAATTCCACACCCTGAGGAACATTAGGGAGCTAAAGGACTTAAGTCACAGCATCAATGGCAGACAAATGCCTTGAGCATTTTAACTCTGACAGTGACAGGGCAACAGCAAATTAAAAAAAAAAAAAAGATGTAAGAAAAAGATCAAGAAAGCCTGGTTTGCATCCATTATGATCATGATTCCACATGCAAGGAGACCATAAAGACAGGAAAAGAAAAAAAATATGATAGAGATGTACTTAGAAGAAATAACGGCACATCAAGAGAAGAGCAGTGAAAATTGAGCTGCAGGGCTTGGTTTCTTCTGCATCCAATCTGATTAAATAATTTGGAGATACTCAAAGTGGTGAAAATGAAAGACAGCTATATTTAGAGCTCTACTGCAGCTCATTTCCTAGAGTCTAATAAGTGTATGATTGTCAGGGATGAAGAAAATTGTTTTGTTTCAGTTAAATAAAATTAAGCCAGGAAAACTTTTTTGAAGTTACAGACACCAATAATGCCATCCATCTGAAAAATGTTAAGATAGAGCAAGAGATATCTCTAACCAGCAACAAGTTTGTATCACAAGGCAGCTGGAAGGAAACTGCTGACAAACTCACACTGGGCTTTTGGATGAAGAAAATTGTTTTGTTTCAGTTAAATAAAATTAAGCCAGCAAAACTTTTTTGAAGCTACAGACATGTAAACTGCCATCCATCTAAAATGGTCTGAAAAATGTTAAATACAGCAACAGATATCTCTAACCAGCAAGAAATTTGTATTACAAGGCAGCAGGAAGAAAACTACTGACAAACTCACACTGGGCTTCAACAGGACCTTACCTTAAGTGTTGTAGTGTTCTCATCATCTGACCACTGCTCAAAATAAGAACAAACCAAAGGTTACCAGCTTCCTGAGCCATCCTTTATAATTTATGAGAACATCAGAATTTATGCAGCCTCCCACAACATGTACATCAAATCATTGCCCCAGACAGCATAACATAATCATCATGATCCTGCAATTATTTCGGCTGTAAAGTAGGACAGGAAAACCACTGCATATTCAGCAGAAGTACTACTCTAAAGTGTTGATAAAAAGATACCTGTATATTTCAATTTTGATTTATATCAGAAAGATGGACATTTCAGAACTCAGTCTTCCCTATCTACAGCTTGTCTTCAGCTCCAGCACTTCTATCCTGAGACCCATGATCCATTAGCTCCACTTTTGTTTATTTTTCATCTCCTTGTTGTACCTTCTGTCACCTTGCAATTACAACATTTTTCAGTGTTTGCCCTCTAGAATGGCCTTCTGAGTTATTATGGCCTCAGAAACTTTCACTGTTTCTTGAAGTAACTACTCCAAACATAATCCTAATTTTTCAGGGCATGAAACAGCATTAAGTTCAATTTCAACATTCCCCAATCATTATTACAAATGCCATTAACAAGAAATGAAAAATAAATAAAAAAATCTTCTGTGAAAGACCATAGAAACAGCTTAAAGTTTCCCTGACTTCACAGCATAAGTGACCACATTTTTATGTTTTTCATGGCAACAACCACATGATAATTATTTCTGTGAAAGACTCTCCACATCTATAAATTATGCAGAAAAAGTTATACACTCATATTTTTCTCAAGAGACTTGACATTAATTTGCATTTTACACTGACCTGTATCTCCTCTGCATCATCATTCCCTTCCTGAGCATGACTTGGCGGATCTTCTCTGAAACAAAAAATTAACAGGAAAAAAAATTAAGCACTGGAGTTTGACTTGACCATGCCCATTACATTTCCACAGCATTTCCAGCCCTTGATGTCAAAATGTTTTTATAAGAAGATTAAACCTCAAAACCCTGGCAGAGAAAAATCAGAGATGCCAGTACTGAAAACTAAAGACCAAATAGCTGGCATTAGGCTTAGGTTCTACCCTGGACACTTTGCTTCTTTTAAATTAGAAGATCAATTTTTGCTCTAAAACACCATAATTGAAGCTTTTCAACACCCTGTCAATTATTCTTTTCCAACTTTACTCTGACATAAACACAAATTTAATTTTTTTAAATAAATTAAATTTAGATTTTTGCCTCCATACTCCCTTTCCAAGTAAAAATTTATAAACTTTGAATTTTAAATGTTGACCTGTGAATTTCTGGCTCTGAAAAGAAAATGTCCTCACACTCAGCATAAGATCCTATGGAAAGTGGAGAGTGTAGCAAACAGGGCAAGGTAAAATGAACATTCCTGTCAAAAGTCAATTCTTAGACAAGCTGAGCCTCTGCAGTCCCTCAATGCACTTCCACAGGGACTAAACCACCAACCCAAGTTTTGAGATCTAGAGGACAGACAGGGGTGCACTGAAGGTTAGAAGCAAGGCCTTGACTACAAGAAGATCACTAATAGCTAAGGAAATTCAACTCAAAAAATGGTTTCTAAAAAGGATTTTAAATGCAAGCATCTTAAAAATGTAATTTAAGTCAATCATACAGCTGTCCATTATTCCATTAAAGACAGCAAAATTGTAGAACACAGCTGTTAAGTCAAACCTTCTATTTCAGCTTTTCTGAAGGCTTATTAAAATATACAGGCACTGCTAAATAAATTCTGCAGAAGCAGGTAGCAATACTACTTCTGATCCAAAATAGTTTAAAAAACAATTCTATTTTTCTGGATATCCTTTAATAAGAAAAATAATTTAGAAATGAAAAACGAAACCCTTTCAGGTTTAGAAGGCATTTAAACAGCTTCAATTTTTATATAAATTGATAGCTGATAAATCAAACCAAGCTCCCCTTCACTCACAGCGTCACTGGTTGCTCTGCAAGGGGCAAACCACTACTTAGGGAATCATGGAGTGAGGACTGATTTTTGAGTTTGATCATTAACAATATGCATGCAGCAAGCATTCCACAAGGAAACCACACAGTGAGATCCACACAGAAACAGAAAGCAAGGCTGTGTTCTTATCCAACTGCTCCTGCTACCTCTCCACTTCATTCTTCATCCAAAATCCTGGCATGGGTGCTCATACAGGACACTCATCTTTGCCATATGCATGGATTGCAAGTGATTATATAAAATGTTACTAATTACTGAGTCTGTATGCAGCTTATTTTATTGAGAATTAAGCTCAGGTAATGTCACTTCACCCCTGGACTGGCATGGGACAGGTCAAGCCTGTGAACTGGACCCAACCAGATCCAAAGAACCAAACACAAACCAGCAGCTGAGCATCCCAGAGACTGGTACACTCCCTAAAGAAAGGTGGAAAAAAAAATGAAAGGACTTTGTCCACTTGGTCTAGAAGGAATTGTAGTTCATGGATTTTAGGATCTGCTTCAGGCACCAGCAAATCCAGCTGTACTAACAGCAGTCAGCCCACTCACATGCTCACACAGGGTGAGGCTCACTGCAGTCACACTGGTCAAATTGAAAACTTCATTATGATCAATACAATATGTATACACAAAATGGTGCTGTGAATGAAAAATGGCATTAATACTCGGAAGCTGGGGAGAAAACACACTTTACCTTCCAGAAACCACCAGTGTTCCATCATCCAGCAAATATTCTTTCACATTCTCTGGCAGGGGAAGAATAACACTGGAAAAAATGTGAAAATCTCTTTAATACCTTATTATTATTTGTTATAATAAAATCCTAGTGGAACAAAATATTTTGTTTTTTTCATAGCACATACCCAAATAATACTACGTTTTATGCTCTAACATTATGGAAGAAAATTCTCTCACCCATCTTATCCCTTACCCAAAAAAGCAATGCCCATTTTCCCTCCATGGATGCATAGGACAAAAATTTTAGACGAAATATACAAAAATGCCCCACTCCTTCAAAGCTCTAAGAAATTGCAAATGAAATTGTGTGCAGCTTGTGAGGAGAAAACACATTGCTCAAACTAAAGGTTTTCCTTCTGAAATCCAAATCAAAATTGCCCTATGCCATCCTAATGTTCCAAAAACGCAGGACTATCACCACATTTGCCAAAAAAAAGCCTGTGTTAAACACTAGGAAAGATAAAAGATCCAATGCTTTGATTACTAAAAGCATGATGTCAGCACTTTTTGATCCAACAGGGTGGCTATCCTGACTTTCCTGAGCTACTGGTGGCTCTTGTAACCATCCCATGACCTGCAGCAGCACCTCAGAAACTGCACAATTTTCTGTGGCTTCCAGAAATACACAGAAACACCAAGGTGGCCACTCGGGTTGGATCTATCCAGTCACAGTTTAAGTTGGCAAGTAGAAACAGCGTGGGTATCTTCTGATGCTCAGCATGGAGTCCCACCAGCAGAGCAGGGAGCACAGGAGTACCTGGCCTGCTCCAGGGCTTCCCAAAACATTCCCTTGGGATGTAGGGACAAGACCCCAGCTCCCTGGACTGCAGCTGATGGCTCAATCAATCCTTGATCACCTCCAGCCCAGCTCTGCCCCACACAGGTCCCCTCTATCTCACCCAAGCCCACAGAATAGCCAGGTTGGAGGGACCACGGGGCTCATCTGCTCCAATCACCTCCAGCCCAGCTCTGCCCCACACAGGTCCCCTCTATCTCACCCAAGCCCACAGAATAGCCAGGTTGGAGGGACCACGGGGCTCATCCCCTCTGACCTCCCCGCTCAAGCAGGGCCATCCCAGAGCACAGGGATGTGTCCAGACACTTCTGGAATATCTCCAGCGAGGGAGACTCCACGCCCTCTCTGCACAATCTGTTCCAGTGCTCAGTCACTGCACAGGACAGGAATTCTTCCTCATGTTCAGGTGGAACTTCCTGGGCATCAGTTTCTGCCCTTTGCCTTCTATTGTTGGGCACCACCAGGCAGAGCCGGGTCCATCCCTTGGCACCCCCTCATCAGGTATTTATATAATTAATGAAGGCACCTCTCAGTCATCTCTTTTTCCTTCCAGTACCTGGAGGGAACTTGCAGGAAAAATGGAGCAAGACTATTTACAGGAGCTTGTAGTGACAGCACATGGGGGAATGCGTTCAAACTGAGAGACAGTTTGGATGGATATTAGGAAGAAATTCTTTCTTGTGAGGGTGGTGAGGCCCTGGCAGGGCTGCCCGGAGAAGCTGTGGCTGCCCCATCCCTGGAGGCTGGAAGGAGCTTGGAGCAGCCTGGTCTAGAGGAAGGTGTCCTTGCCCATGGCAGGGGACTGGAACCAGATGATCTCTAAGGTCCCTCCTAACCCAAACCACTCTGTGATCCCCGAGCTGAACAGGCCCGGTTCCCTCAGCTTTTCCAGTTCCTCAATCACGCCCGTAGCCCTGCAGCGGACCCGATCCCGGAGCTCCACGTCCCTCCCGCTCTGAGGAGCGCAGAAGCGGACACAGCACTCCAGGTGAGCCCCAGCAGGGCTGAGGGGAGGGGAGGGGCAGGACACCCTCCCTCACCCCACGCTCGCCCCACAGCGCTCCCCTACGCCCCGCACCGCCCACACCTGCGGATGGTGACTGCCTTGAAGAGCGGGTACCACACGGAGAACTGGCAGTGCGCCACCTGCTCCTTCTTCATCCTCCTCTTCCTCCTCCTCCCCAGCCCGGCCGCTCCCGGAAGCTCCCGCTCCGCCCGGAACCTCCCGCGCAGCTCCGAGCGCCGCCCGGCGCCATCGCCGGCGCACAGGGCCCGGCCCCGCCCCGCCGCCTCAGCGCTGCCGCTGCCGGCGGCGCCCGGAGCGTCCGCAGCGCTGCCTTCGCCCTGCCCTGCCCCGAGCCCTGGAGGAGCTGAGTAACGCCTTATCCTTTTAGGTGCTGCTGTCCTCCCTGTGCCCTGCGTGGAGCTGTTTCATGGGCTCTTAGGAGGTTACGGGGCTGGAAGGGATCTTAAGGATCAGCCAGCTCCAATCGCCCCCTGCCGCGGGCGGGGACGCCTCCCGTGAGACCGGGTTGCTCAGGGCTTTATCCGACCTGGCATCCACAGCTCCCTGGGCAATCTGTTCAGTGTCTCGCCACCCTCACAGTAAAGGATTTCTTCCTGATATCGCACCTGAATTTCCCCTTTTTCAGTTTGTACCCATGACCCCTTGTTCTGTCGCTGCAGTTCTGATGGATAGGCCCTCTCCAGCTCCCCTGCAGGTGCTGGAGGGTGCTCTGAACTCCACACACCTTCTCCAATTTTCTCAGCCTGTCTTTGTAGGGGAGGTGTAGGAGGTCCTTTTATCAACTTTGTGGCCTCCTCTGGACCTGCTCTGACAGCCCCGCGTCCTTGTGGTGCTGGGACACAGAGCTGTGCCCAGGGCTCGGTGGGTCTCACTCGGGCAGGGGAGAGGGGCAGAGCCTTTGGGTGCAGCTGTGAGCTCACACTGTCAGTTTTATCACCATTTCATTTTGCTCAGTCCCAAGCCTAGCATTAACAGAGTAGTACGGGGGATGTTTAAGCCCCGTGGTTCAGCTGTGGTGTCCCCTGCATGGCGTTGTTTCCTCCTCTGTCTGGGGATGTCCCCCCAGCTGTGTGACACCTCGGCTGGTGGGAAGTTTGATAACACCACGGAGCTGCCTCTCACCCCCTTCTGCTTCCGTGAGATAATCCTTGTTTGCTTTGCAGCTACTTGCCCGTGTTTTATTTGGCACTCAGTGGGTCATTCCTGCTCCTAGACACCGTGATAAAAATGAAACATTCTCCCTCTCCTTTTCTCCCTCCCCTCAACTTAATTGCTGCTTAATTGATATTTGTTTCTAGAATCATGGCACTAAAGTGCAAGTAACAAGTTTAAATTGCCTTAGGAGTTTTTAATGATGTGTGTCGTCAGTTTAGGTATCTCGGAGTGCTGTTGGCTAAATTGTGCATAAAATGTTGCCAATGTTTCTTTAGCACATTCTTTATAAGAAAAAAAAAAATCTGTATTTTGTTTGACCATGACCTTGAGTTTGCCATGGGACCCCCACTACTGAGCTTCCATTAATTCTGGTTGCTGTCAGCTGGAATGTGTGTTTGGATCAGAGAATGTCTTCTAAAAAGTGACTTAGGAAAGCTAATCCATCTCTTTAATTATTAATATTGAAGTATAGTTCTGGTATCTTGACTTTTCTCTCAAACTGATTCACAGATCTCAGTTGGCTTAAGATTTTAACTGCTGGGAAGGATAATTTGGGAACTGTAGAATGGCTGGATGCTGCCTTGAAAGGAAGCCTCTCAATGAAGAAATAAGCAATGGGAATAAAGTTGCATGTTTTATAAATGGCATGGCTTTTTCAGGACAGAATTTGAGACCAGTTTGAAATAAATGGAAGAAGTAGCATGATTTGTCAGCAGTACACTCTAACACTGGGCACAAAAACTACTAGACAAAAGTAGAAAACATTTGTTAAACTGTAGAATGGCTGGATGCTGCCTTGAAAGGAAGCCTCTCAATGAAGAAATAAGCAATGGGAATAAAGTTGCATGTTTTATAAATGGCATGGCTTTTTCAGGACAGAATTTGAGACCAGTTTGAAATAAATGGAAGAAGTAGCATGATTTGTCAGCAGTACACTCTAACACTGGGCACAAAACTACTAGACAAAGTAGAAAACATTTATTTTTCCCCATAATTGATAGTTTGAGTGCTGTTGAGTCACATTAAGGCAGCTGATAAATGTGGGTACTTTGACATATTCTTAAGATTGCGTTTATAACAATTAAAAATGTATATTCTTAGAGCTCATGTAATCCTAAGTCAGGTAGCCAGGCTGCTGCATGAGCTGCATTGAATTTTTAACTCAAATGAACTCATATTTATATGCAGAGGGAACTTTATGAGATAGAAGAACTGCAAGACAAGGCATGTTCTGGAAGCTAAACAGGCCTTTAGAAACCTCACATTTTAGTGTTAAATTTAATTTTCAGTTGCAGCTAATTTTGTTTATGAACAAGAGATGTTGCCATCCTTGACAGCATGACTAACGTGAGATGCCAGAACTGCAGCCTTCATTTAAGCAAACAGTATTTCAGCTTTCTAACAGCAGAAATTCTCACTTCTGTACTGCCAACTGAATCCTGACAAAAATACTGTTTTGTGGAACTTCTAAAAATGTCACTATGCATAGAGTTACTGCACCCACTTGTGGAGGAGACCCAAACTACAGAAGCTGGGCTGGATCAGCCTCTCTTTGAGGGGGTGTTCACCCATTTTAGGTTTTAGTGATAGTTCAGACCACTGAAACTGTATTTTTTGTTGTTGTTGTTTTAAGTAGCAAATCACTGCTGAATCTTTCAGGAGAGAACAAGCTGTTTTGAAAGCAGGTTCTGCCATGAGATGAGGTTTTAGTATTTTTTTCATGATACAGCTGTGGTAATCCACATTTGAGAAAGATACAGTGGTATTTGTGCAGAAGAATTAGGGTGATCAATGGAACAGGATTTCCTGTGAGGGCAGAGTAAAAGAGGAAGACTTAGCCCAATCCAAAGACAACTTCAACAAGGCTCTGGTTCACTTTCTACTCCTTTTACATATTTATATTGACAATGCAAAAGGCTGTAATTCTTTCCAAATGTAGGAGGTGAATTTGCTGTAGCTGGATATGTTAGGTTTTTGTGTTTTTAAAGGCATCACGCAGAGCCTCCTTTGACTGTTTCTCCTGGGCTGTGCTCCTTTTGCCTGTCTTTGGTGGAAAGCTTGATCTTGTGTGTGAGAGTCACAGCATGAGACCATGGCCATTGTCCAGATAAAACTCTTCAGTCCTAAGAGAAGGGAGTTCCAAACATTGGAACAGCTGACTGGACTGAAGTGGGATAGAAACTGGAACACAAGCAACTGAGCAGTTTGTCATACAGATAGTGGTCAGGTAGATAATAAAACTAAGTGGTTTTGAAAAGGAGCTTCATTGCCTTAAGAGAATATTATAGGACATATTTTTGAAGGAACAGAATTTGCTTTAACAGGTTGTTTCTTTTGCGTTTCTTTTGATTACATAAAACCAATCTACACATTTGACCTCTATCACCTACTTCATCCAAAACCACTTTCTTAAGACTTAAGGAAGAGCCTGCCCTGTGTATAGACCAAGGAAATGGTCTCATGTACTTTAGTTTTTACTCCTGCTGATAAACAGAAATATTACAGAAATATTTAGTCCTACCTGTTCCTTTTAACTGCTAACTGCAAGTAAATGTCAATCCGGTATGTAACAAAGCTGATTGTTGCTCTTTCACGTTTCACTAGTGTGCAACAGATGTTACCACAAAAAGGATAAAGATGAAGTGAAAAATGAAAGTGCTGAAGTTGGGTGTGACAGAGAAACTTTTCACACACTTTGTACTGTTCTTTGCTAGAGACCACACAGAGTCTTATTAATCCACAGTTGAAGTCATAGAAAGATTCTTTTTGACTTTATGGAAAGATTATGACCATCCATGCTAGGGGTGATTGAGATCTTTAAGATTATCTCATCTCTCCTGGTGTTTAAACTGATTTGTTTCTTTTCACTAGCTTTTTCTTATGATTCATGATGATTTTCAGGACTTCAGTATTAATATCATAGATGGTTTCCCTGGTATAAAGGAGCTTCATTGCCTTAAGAGAATATTATAGGACATATTTTTGAAGGAACAGAATTTGCTTTAACAGGTTGTTTCTTTTGCGTTTCTTTTGATTACATAAAACCAATCTACACATTTGACCTCTACCACCTACTTCATCCAAAACCACTTTCTTAAGACTTAAGGAAAAGCCTGCCCTGTGTACAGACCAAGGAAATGGTCTCATGTACTTTAGTTTTTACTCCTGCTGATAAACAGAAATATTACAGAAATATTTAGTCCTACCTGTTCCTTTTAACTGCTAACTGCAAGTAAATGTCAATCCGGTATGTAACAAAGCTGATTGTTGCTCTTTCACGTTTCACTAGTGTGCAACAGATGTTACCACAAAAAGGATAAAGATGAAGTGAAAAATGAAAGTGCTGAAGTTGGGTGTGACAGAGAAACTTCTCACACACTTTGTACTGTTCTTTGCTAGAGACCACACAGAGTCTTATTAATCCACAGTTGAAGTCATAGAAAGATTCTTTTTGACTTTATGGAAAGATTATGACCATCCATGCTAGGGGTGATTGAGATCTTTAAGATTATCTCATCTCTCCTGGTGTTTAAACTGATTTGTTTCTTTTCACTGGCTTTTCCTATGATTCATGATGATTTTCAGGACTTCAGTATTAAGTTAATATCAGAGATGGTTTCCCTGGTATAGGTTTCTGTGCTCAAAGTTCCCTGTAGTTCCACAGTGACACAGGGTCAGTCTCTAACACATCTTTTTGCCTGCTGTGTCCTTAGGCTGGAACTGGACTGGGGGAGTGCATAATCTCACTCTCCTGGGGATGCAGGCTGAGGCACGAGCTGCAGGTGCAGAGCCTTGCTTTGAGCATTTTTTTAAAGAAAATGCTGCCTTTTGTAGGTGTTGGGCACATCATTCCCAGTAAGAGACTGACATGCCATGGTCACACCATCACACCTGCCCCGTGTGCTGCACAGACTTGCAACATACATGTAGTTTTTTGACCTTGTTTTTAGTGGAAGGGTTGAGTAATTTACTTGTTTATTTGTGATGTGAGCTGGAGGTAGGTTCTAGTTATTGTTTTTAATAGCAGACAGTTTTTACCACTGAAGTCCTCTTGGTATAAGTTGTTGGGTTGTTTTTTTTTTTGCACTTTCACAGTGGAGTGCACAGTCCTGTTGTCCAGACACTGTTGACAGAACATTTCACCCAGTTCAGAATGAAACTGTTTGAAATGCACTAATTGTCTGTATATGTGTCTGACATCTGAATAGTTAACAAAAGTGTCTTCAGCTGGCATAGCTACCTGACAGCTGATAGGACTATTAAACTATACAAATCAGGAATTTGACCCAAATTTACATTTCTCCTTTGAATTATTTGGCTCTGAAATCACTGGGTGGAGCTGTAAGCACGATATGAACTTGCCATCACACGTCCCTGACTTTCTCCAACAAGCTATATTTGTTAATTTACGGTGCAGAAATGAACCTTTTAACTTTACACTGAAAGCAAATATTGATTTTGTTTCATATATATCTGGACTTTGCACAGGAGGGGAAAAACCTGACATTCCTGAAAATGGCAGCTGAGACATCCACAGAAGTTGCAAAAACAGCTAAACAATTCGTCCTTAAGGAAGAGGTACAGCATGCTTGGGTTTGACACTTTTTGTTGTTAAATAACAATTATTTGTGAGTTTGTGAGTGCAGAGTTCAAAATGCTAGAGAGGCTGAATGTTCATAAAAACCTATTCAAAAGACAAAAAAATTCTTCCTGATTGTCAGAGAGTTTAAAAGATGTGACATTCCTCTTTATTGAAATAATTATACAAATTATCTGTGAGGAGAGAAAAATCTACAGTGTTGAATTATTTTAAGTTGCTTCTCATTTTTTTCAGATTTTGCCTCTGTTTCTTGTATTGTCTCTTCAGGAGGTTTTTCACTGTTCAAAAATAATGCTGATATCTCTGAGAGACTTTACAAATTGGTGGGTTATGAAACTCAGCAACAATTTTCTCTTTCAAACAGTTTTCTGTTTCTTTAAGGTTACAAACCACCAAGGGTTGCTTTAACATTTAGGATTGTACCACGTTTTATGTTTGCTGAAAGGATTTGAATTTATATAATTGCTGTTTGAAAGACATCAGTAAGGAAGTAGTAAGAATAATACCAGTCCTAAGAAAGGATTCTGGAGGTACTTCATTCTTATTAGAAGCATTTTCACCCTAAACTGCCTGTATTTGTTTCTGTTCCCTTTAAAATGAACTCTTAAAAGTTCATCTTTGGTGCTAAGGCAGGTTTGGCAGTGTCCTGCTCTTGTTAAAACACAAACGTGGTTTCTTTTATTTGTTCTTCATGGAGTGAACACACTCTTGTAGTTTCTTCCGGTTTCACGGCACAAGGAAAGAAGAGATTTGTTTGTATTATGTCTTTTCTCTTAAGTGTTTTTTAATGTGAATATTTCACAAGCATAAAGGATTTAATTTTTGTAATAATTTTGGGTTTTCTATTAAGAGCTGGGTATTTTGCAGGCACATTTCCATTTTATCCTCTTTAGGTTTGGTTATGTATAGTTTTTTTATGGTTTTCTTTGTTTGGTTTGTTGTTGTTTGGGGTTTTTTTGTAATGTTTCTTAGTTATTCTCTTTTTTAAACAATGTGCTCTTTCATATCACAGGAAATTTATAATTAGGTCTTACATATTTTAAGCTATTTACTTTTTTCAATTAATTTGTGGTCTTAATACAGAGAAGGATTTACCCTTTTTCTGCCAGTGGATCTTATATCAGAAGTGGTTCTGTAACAGTGCAGTAAGAGTGTGGCCTGATGCCTGATCTTCCATTAAAGTGGGAGCTGCTCTTACTTCATTCTTCTTTTTTCTGGGAAGGCACATTCAGGCTGTTATAAGCAGATGTTTTTTGCCATCAAAGTAATAGACAAAGAAATAGAAACAACTCATTTTAAAACAAGTTACAGTAAAAGAACAAACTGCTAGGCTAATCTATAGGGATGTTTCTCTTTTAAAAGAATTACATAAAAGATGAGGAAACATAGGGAAAGTAAACTAATTTAGCCCAGAAAAGACATTTGGTCACAGTGTTAATGCCAACACTCACTCAGCAGCTCTCAGAAGCCTAAAGGGGCAGATAAGTGTCACTCTCACAGCTGCAGAATACAGCAGTTACACAAGGCCACAGCCTGGGATCAGGGCAAGAAAAGTTTCAGGGTAGCTTGGTTTTCAGTCTTGCATGCTCAGCTTTGGGCTGTGCTCTCTGCTAAGGGGGCACTCGTGAGCACCAGTGTAGCTGAAGTCTCTGGGCTGCACAGAGACTCTTGCAGCTGATACATTACCCTTGCAAAATCCTACTAAAAAATTAGGACTTTGCAGTAGACAAAATCCCACTGAATTAATCAAAACTTGGTTATAAAACTCATGTTAAGAGAAACTACTGTCTTGGGGTTATGTTTTTATTCATATTCAAGAATTTAGTCCTTTCTTTTCTGTATTAGCAACAGGAATGCTGTTGTGCATTCCTGCATGTGATGTGATGCTGAAATTTGTCTTCAAAAGAACTTAAGAGTGGCTGTGCTATTCCTCCCAATTCTTTGGGATTAATTTTATAATGTATTTAACAACTAATTCTTTATTTTAGGTAATTGTAGAAAGACAATGGTTGAAGCTTGCAGAAACAACTTACACTGATCCCTTTGGGAAAACCAGGTAATTGCCTCTCTGGTATTCCAGATTCCCAATTGCACAGACTGGCCCTAGGCTAGAGAACACGAGCATTACTAACACATCACTCCAGACAAGATGAGAGGTTTGTGAGGTTCCTTCAGAGTTCCTGCTGTTCAGAGGAGAGAATCTTACTCTGGCAGATGTGCAAGCATTGGGATTGAATTTGGCTCCTAAACCCTCTTGGGCAAATTGGACCTGGATTTGCTGCATTTCCAGTTCTTTGGAAGCAAGTTCTTTCTACACAGAAGCAAGTTCCAGCTGTGCCACTACTCTGTGACAATCAGAGTCCATCCTGTGGCTTTTCTGGTTCTTAATTATGGGCTCCTTTTTCCTTGCTGATGGTGCTGGATCCTGCATATTATTGACAAATTAATGTCCTCTTGTGTGTTATCATTTCTGTCCAATTCTTTTGTACTCTTTAGTTTTACTGTGTTTAGGTGGGTGTTACAACATGGCTTCAGTTCCCTCCCCTTAATGTGTTGGATTCTGTACTGATTGCTTTCTCTAGTGCCTCCCAGTTCATCAGCAGTGTCCTCTTAAAATTACCAAGATTGGATTTTTTGTGTAACTAAAATTAACTATTTTCTCTCTCCCCCTTAAGTAGGCAAAAGAAAACTGTACTACAGACATTTTATAGTGCCAGTGTATGACAGGCACTATGGCCTGCTGCTTCTTACAAGACCTCACTGTATGATGGTACATTTTGCATTAAGTAGCAAGGGTAGAAGATGATTTATGTATTAATTTGTTCTTTTCTCTGTTTAAACAGAACTTGGGAAACTGTAAAGCGTACTGGCAACAAAAAGGGAGTTACAGCTGATGGTAAGAATTAGTGGCTTTTTCTGTTTGCATTTTTTTCCTGTGAAAGTCTTTCTGATAAGCTGACACTGCAGATTTTAAGCTGACCTGTTCCTGAATGGATGAGGATGTGGAACAGGTGGCTTGGCTATACCCTGAGCTAATGAAAGGCTAACTGAAGTGCTGAAGAATCAGAACCTTACTGGTGGGAGTGCTTTCCCAAGGTCATTGTGTTCACTTTAAAATGATGGAGCACTTCCTAAGACATCCGGGGTGCCCTGACACAGAGTTACACAAACTGGTGATTGGGTCTGTTGTTAGGGGCCAAGGGGCTCTTTGGGACATGATTTAGAAATGGAGAGTAGAGAGTTCCCTACAGAGGCTTTCAAGCAGGTTTTGTAGACAGGAGAGCCCTTCCCTGTGGCTCAGTCTTGCTTGCTTGCCTCTGGCTTACTGGGGAGCTTTGAAGATCTCTCACCATGCATGTCTTAAAGAGCTTAAATTCATCAATCGGGATTCTGGAGCAGACATCTAAACATTTAATGCTCAGAGTGGCAGTGTGTGGGTTCCTTTCCAGATCTGGCACTAAAATCTCACTTTCTGCTACGCTCACATTCCGTGTCCTTGTGTCTCCCATGGCTGTGGTAGGTGTAGCAGTGATAGCAGTGCTGCAGAGAACCCTGCACTATGACTGCATTGTCCTGGTGAAACAGTTCAGGCCCCCAATCAATGGCTACTGCTTGGAATTTCCTGCAGGTAGGTGGCTGAAACATTGGGATGAGTCACATATAGTTCAGAGTGTTTAGATGTGCTTGGAGTGTCAATCTTTATGTATTTTATAGGTTAGACTTAATGATCTCCAAGGTCTTTTCCAATTTAGTTGATTCTGTGATCTTAATGAAGCTGTAGCTGAGCTCCACGTGCTATTCCAAAATTGGAATATTTGATAATGAAAAATAAAAAAAGCTTGTTTTAGCAGATTGGAGAAAATTCCCTCCACTTCTCCTTTCTCTAAGAGTCAAAGCATTTGGCTTCTTTCTCTCATGAGAATATTAATGCCATTTTTGGGGAAGGCATGATGATTCTGTAGATAATTGGTTAAGCAGCATAATGAATCCAGGGATTGGAATCCTTCCTAACACTTATCCCTCTGTAAAGACAGAGTAGGGAGGATGTTTCTTTCCTCTCTTCCAGAAAGCTTGATTAGATCTCAGGGTGGATATTGCAGTTAAGTGGGAAGCTTTTAATTGTTTTTGTGTGTTATGTATCTCCCAGGCCTCATTGAGGAAAACGAGTCAGCAGAAAGTGCTGCGCTTCGAGAGCTGAAGGAAGAAACTGGCTACAAGGGGGAAGTCATTGAATGTACTCCAGGTCTTTGCTTTTTTTGTTTTTTCCCACCAAAGCTAATTCTGTCTTGATGGCTAATCTAAATGTCTGAAATGCTCTAAACCAAAGGGAAGGCCTATGCAGATTAGCAGGGTAGCATCTCATGGCTGTAAAAGTGAAACTTTGGTCCTTTATGTGAATCAATTGCTGAACTTCAGTCTGAAGTAAGTTTGATGTCTGTAGGGAGGAAATTGCTATTAATTAAGATTCTTTACACAAAACCCTATTATTCAAGCTGTGATTGATTTGGCATTTTAAAGTGTAAAGGTCTAAATTGCTGAACTTCTGTGAACAGCATCTGTGAACTTAGTAAAAAAAAAAGCTGCATGATGCAGAGGTCACCCTTGTGTCAGCTGTGGGGAGGTGACAGTACTCAGGTTCTCCAGCTGCAAAGAAGAAAGGAGAGTAACTGGAGTAAATTCAGAGATCCTTTGGAACATGATTGTTCCAATCCGGTGCTTCCTACGTAAGATAAAATGAAGGCAAAATGAGGATCATTAATCAAACTTGAGAAGGTAGGTGAGGCAATTTAGGATTTTGAGGAAGTGTCATTGCAGTTGAGTCTTGTCTCTCAGTTACTGGATACAGCTGCATGCTGGGGATTGGGAGAGGTTGGAGACAGGTAATGGCAAAATTTAACTCCAACAGACTGAGCAAGTCTGTAAGGGATAGTTCACAGTAAATCTTTAGTCTATGGAATGGAAAGTAAATTTGACTCTGAAAACAAGTCTTCTCAGGGATCTGTAAAAGAGCTGAGAGTTACAGAAACATTACTTCTAAGAATATGTGAGGACAAAGTTTTCACTACTCTTACAGCACAAATGTCTGCCAAATATATATTCTCCTATTGTATCACATACATTGCTGTGAAAGCTTTTGTTAAAATGTCAAGTTGCCTGACTCCTGCTCTGAAAAATGAGCAAAATCCTCTGCATGTGCTTGTTGGCAGCTCTGTGCTTGGACCCAGGAATGTCAAACAGCACAACACACATCGTGAGCGTCATCATTAATGGAGATGAGGCTGAGAACACAAGACCTAAGCAAAACCTTGGTGAGTTTTGTACCATTTATTTGAAAATTTTCAGACGATAACAAAACAATGGGTTTAAAACAACCCCACCACTCATCTCTCCTGGTCTAGCTGATTTGGATACTGCACATCCTTCCAATCACATCCTGCAGTCAAGATGAGTGTGTCTCTGCTGAATTCACTGGGGAAGCCCAGATATGAAGTGTCAGCTGTTGGCACACTCAGAATAAAACATTTCAGTGCCAAATTCAGTGAGGGCCATAAGCACTTGTGAACCTAGATAGTCCTCTCAGTTGTAGCTTCACTCTGGAAGTAACTGCAGTGTCACTCACAGTCAGCCATCAAATGCTTATTAATTGTAAACTCTAGTGTATTGCAACCCCTTAACTCACTACTCTTTTCACTTGCAGATGATGGAGGTACGTAATGTGACTGATCTCACTGACAATAAGGTCATGATTCTTCGTATGGCAAGTTTTACTTAGAAAAAGTCAGTTAAAACTGGTTTTTATTTGTGCTTGGGTAATCTGCCGACCCTAATCAAATGTGCCTGAGGTTGACTTTGGCCTAGATGCAAATTCCTGTGGGGCATTATTGCGTCAATTATCTTTCCCAGTATTGCACCTATAGCACCAGTATTTCAGGAAATGCAAATTACTGACCCCCCAACAGCTGTAGGTCAAGCCCTGAAGACAAGTAATTCAGAGAGACAGGGCAGGGGTAAACCAGCATAAATTCATCATTAACAAACCCTTTGAGATGGTTTGGTCTTGAAATGCATCTCCAACCCATTCCTGTACCAGGAGAAGCCAAACAAGTTTTTTCAACAGTATATTTTTCATTCTCAACAGGCAGGTTTCTGTTTTGGGGATTCTTATACTTCATAGCTACCAGCTACACTTTTTTTCCCAACTGTTTTTCCAGCTTTTTTCTGCCAAACATGTTTTTTAGTGAGCCCAGTCACTGCCTTTCCCCATTTAATTGACCTTTTTTTGATGTATAAAAGCTCACAACTTTTGGATGGTGATGAGCATTAAATCAGTTTCTTTGCCCTTCTAAATTACAAGGAACAGAAAACAGAAGTGAATTTCTCTACTGTTCACTAATTTAAGGATGTGTAAACCTTTTTCTTCTCTCCTAGAATTTGTGGAAGTTGTTTCACTTCCAAAGAATGACCTTCTGCAAAGGATTGATGGTAAGAACTTTCTGACACATTCAATGCACTAACATGAGCTTCAGGAATCCTTTCTCAGGGCTCCTGGTGTCATCTCTCACCCTGGAATACTGCATGTTAAGCAAAAATCTGTGAGAGACCTGGCCAGGTATGCGAGTTAGTGATAGCAGGAGGAGTTTGCAATGTCTACACATCTTCATTTTAGCAAGGACTTACATTTCTGGAAAGGTGAGGTTTTAACAGCATCTCATAATTGTTTTTTTTTTTCAGAACTGGTAGCAGAAGAGCACCTGGCAGTAGATGCCAGGGTTTATACTTACGCGTTGGCTCTGAAGCGCGCAGCAGAAAAACCGCTCCAAGTTCCTTTTATGAAGTTCTAGAACTGCTACCAGCTACACTTTTTTCCCAACTGTTTTTCCAGCTTTTTTCTGCCAAACATGTTTTTTAGTGAGCCCAGTCACTGCACTTCCCCATTTAATTGACCTTTTTTTGATATATGAAAGCTCACAGCTTTTGGATGGTGATGAGCACTAAATCAGTTTCTTTGCCCTTCTAAATTACAAGGAACAGAAAACAGAAGTGAATTTCTCTACTGTTCACTAATTTAAGGATGTGTAAACCTTTTTCTTCTCTCCTAGAATTTGTGGAAGTTGTTTCACTTCCAAAGAATGACCTTCTGCAAAGGATTGATGGTAAGAACTTTCTGACACATTCAATGCACTAACATGAGCTTCAGGAATCCTTTCTCAGGGCTCCTGGTGTCATCTCTCACCCTGGAATACTGCATGTTAAGCAAAAATCTGTGAGAGACCTGGCCAGGTATGCGAGTTAGTGATAGCAGGAGGAGTTTGCAATGTCTACACATCTTCATTTTAGCAAGGACTTACATTTCTGGAAAGGTGAGGTTTTAACAGCATCTCATAATTGGTTTTTTTTTTCAGAACTGGTAGCAGAAGAGCACCTGGCAGTAGATGCCAGGGTTTATACTTACGCGTTGGCTCTGAAGCGCGCAGCAGAAAAACCGCTCCAAGTTCCTTTTATGAAGTTCTAGAACTGGACAATGAGAAATGGAATTCAAAACTGCCTGTGTTGGATGGCTTAGAAGTATAACTCTTCTTCTAATCAAGGTCATTTGCTTTACTTGTAGAGCAAAAAAAGTGTTTGTAGTAATGATTCTGGTATTTTTATTTTTAATTATGTAACTGACAAAAAGCATTTCCTCTAACTGCTCTGTCAAGCCTTGACAGAATATCCATAATAAAAATACTGTTTAATTTTCAGAATGGCTTATTTCTCACTAGATTCCTCTCTGCATGTACAGTTCAGTATAGCAAAGATGCTTAGGTAACCATGGTTGGTGTTGTAACTCCATGGCTCCAAAGGAGGCAGAGGCAGGAGAGTGAGTGCAGGTCTCTCTCACTCACAGCACTCACTCCTAACACTGGGGAGGGGAGAGCTCCTGGTGGGCTGCATCTTTATGATGGGCAGCAGAGGGGCTGGCACTGATTTCTTCTCTCTAGTGACCAGTGATGGGACCCAAGGGAATGGTCTGAAGTTGTGCCAGGGGCAGTTTAAGTTGGGTATCAGGAAAGGATTCTTCAGCCAGAGGCTGGCTGGGCAATGGAACAGGCTCCCAAGGGAAGTGGCCACAGCACTGAGCCTGACAGAGTTCAAGATTTGTTTGGACAACACTCTTGGGCACATGGTGAGATTCTTGGGATGTCCTGCACAAAGCCAGGAGTTCTTCCTAGTAAAAAACTGTTATTCCCATTCCCATATCTTTGCCTGAGAGCCCTTTTAATTCTGAAGTTGTGATAATTCGGAAGGAGGGGGTTTACCTTTTCCATTTCACAGGAGGCTTTTGCCTTCCTTCACAGACTCCTATCTTTTCAAACCAAGACAGGATGTCCTGCACAAAGCCAGGATTTGGACTCTGTGAGTCTTGTGGGTCTTCTAACTCAAAACTCATAGAATTGTAGAATCTCGAATTAAGTATTAATTCTCTGTGACAGGAGCAGGGACAGCAGCACAGGAAAACTGTGTGCATGTTCTGGCTGAGGTAATTGAAATGAAAATTTCAAGAACTTCCTATTGTGATTTAGACATCGTGTTTCCTTCTCCCAGCCCTAACTAAACTATGCAGAAAGAGAAAACTGGTTTGTCTGATCTAAAATAATGATTATGACACCACCATCTATCAGTGCAAACCAGAACTGTGCAGGCTCAGAGGATCCTGCTGAAGGTTTGAGGTCACTTATGTGCCCTGAGAGGGCACAGCCTCGCAGTTCTCCCTCTCCTGAGGACATGTGTGTGTACCCAGGCGGCACCTTCAGTCAGTCAAATCACTTCTAGATACATCTTATCCCAAATAAACCTTCAGTGCATCTGCACACACTGGGCTGCTACTAATTATGTAAACAGCCACCACGGCTGAAAGGTCAGGATCTGAGAGTTTTAATAAACACACATCAAAATCAGTACTGCCTCTGAAATAGATGACGATGAGCATGCATAATTAGGGAAACTTTCTGAAACAGAAAATTGCTTAAGAGTTTGTTACCTTGACAAAACACAAAGTTACTTTCAAGTTAAGAGAGAAGGTACAATAAATGTAACATCAAAGGGAAAAAGTGATTACAGGAAGGCAGAAAAGCTCAATGATTTTAAGGGGGGGAATCTTGGGATTTTTTAAAATTGTAGTTGCTGAAAATTGATCAGAATTATGTTCTGGAAAGAAAAATACAAAGAGGAAGAAAGGGAGCCTTCTAGACCTACTTCCCTATCAAGGCACTGTAGAAATTACCAAAGACTGCACATGAATTACATCTGGCACACCCCAGACACAGGAGAGAGTTTAATTAAATAAGTTTATTGTCTAACGCTTACATTTGTTACATGGCCGCTGTAAAGTGCGACAAATTTTCAGCAGGAACTCCCCGTTCCCCCTTCTCCCTCCTATGAACTGCTTTAGGAACCAGGCCTCGTTCTTTAGGCTCACAAAAGCGAAGTGGACATGGAGTGGCACAGTTGTCACAAGTGCATGGTTGAACAGCCCTGGCCGTGTGACAGCGGCTGCCCCTGCAGCCCCGGGGCTGCAGCAGATCCCCAGAGCAGCTCTCAGGTGAGATGAGTATCAGCCACCAGGAAAGGTTTGCTTGCCACCCTCAGAGCTCAGGGAAAGGCGCCCAGGTGGAGGCACAGCAAAGGAATAAGGAGTGCTGAGTTCAGTGGTGGGAAGTGCGATTTAAAAAAGTATAAAAAATTAATGTAAAATACAGATACAAATAAATTTTGTCAGGGATACTGGCAAGTGGCAATCTGAACTCAGGGGTTTTTTTTTGTTCTATTAGGGACAGGGAAATTAATTTAACACTTTACTGCTGTGTGCAAAGACATTTACGGCTCTCAAACTGATACATTTACCATCTCACTGTAGTGTCTGAACAGCAAGGTAGATGAATTGTTTCCAGCATTACAGGCAACACTAGATAATACTTAAACAAGATAATGTAAACTTTATTCTTAAGGCAGCTGGTACTAATGCTGCACACAGGCATCCTCAATGCCCATTACAGTAATGGGACACGTAGCACTTGAAAACAAGTAAAAAGAAAATAGCATTATTGGACTAAATGATGCATGTTGTCAAAATACTTTCCCTTTCACACAAACCATGAAATATTTGGACATCTAGAAAAATAATGCACCTACTCCTCCAACTTCAGCCTGTTCTTTTACAAATATTTCAAAATACTGATAAATAATAGTGACTGCAAGCAGAATGCCAGTGCCAGAGCCAATGGCTCCTAGAAAGTCAGCCAGTACTGAAAGGGCACCGATGCACAAACCACCAAATGCAGCTGCTGTAGGGATGTATCTGTAAGAGAGGGAAAAACAGGGAGAAGGTAATAACCAAGGTATCTTTCTTTTACAAACATGGAATAGATTCAACTCAAAATCCCTCATTATGTCACTTAAAAAAAACCAAACAGTACAGGTTAATGTCTAATCTGCTGCTGTAACTTCTTTTGTATAACTAAGAAATGCAATGGCTGAATGGGAAAAATCTTCCCTTTTGCAGTGGAAATGTGTATCAGATTGTCAGAAAAATCTCTGCTCTAGTTGACACTTCCCCAGCACTCTTCACCATCCAGCTGGAAGTCAGCATTTCCTTACCTGTTAAGCTCATGAACCATTGATGTATCCCTGTGGCCTCTCATCACCATTTGCTGTTCTTTGAGTTGCTTGGCAACCTGCAGAAAACATGATTTTATGAAACTGCTGCACTGTTTCACAGTCACTTGATGTTTACTGGGATAAAGTGATCAGTCAGTAGCTGGTCTGCTCTAAACCACAGAAGCACTGTTTGAAAACAATTACAGAACACCTACATCTTTTGCTGATGAGCCAGACACCTCAATCCAAGTCTTGGAGAAGAATGCACAGGATCCCAACATAAATATTATATAAACTATTACATGGACAGGATCCTCAAATATTGCACCCATGGATTCTGGAGGAGACAAGTAGTAGCACAGGCCACCAACAGGGTAAGAGCGAGCAGGGCCACCTCCACTGACATCCTGAGAGGGGAAGAAAAAGACAATAAATTATTTTTCACAGACTTCCCACATTCCTATCCTGTATTAACAGAGGAATTCCTCTTTGATGTTTGAAACAGCTTTTACACACAAATGTTAAAAAGCAAGCATTCCTGTTGGTTAAATACCAAGGAGTCACATCAAAGTGAAAATGCAATAATTCTAGCAGCTAAAATGTGATAAAATACTCACTGCCCACTGTCCCAGTAAGTTCACCAAGAAGTTGCCACTGAAACGAACAGACAACATCTGGGAAATGACGTAGAGGTTTGACACTAAGGCAGACTGCAGAATGATGGGAATGTTGGAGGTGTAGAACAGCTTGATGGGATAGCTGCTGTACTGCCCTCGGTACCGTGCAGACTTGATGGGCAAATCCACTCGGAACCCCTGTGGGAAAGAACACAAAGGCACCAGGGCTCACCTCAGAGACACAAGGTACTCCCAGAATACCCCAAAGCTATTCCTGACCTGCAGTTCTTGCTAGATAAACAAGGACTGCAAGGTCTGAGACAGTAAAGCCCAAAGGCTTTCTGCTACAGTCTGGATTATGGATTTTAAGGATTTAAAAGTGTTACTGCTTTTCACAGTAACACTACATTCTTTTCACATTAACATGGTTTCTCATCTGCTAACTGGTACTTCTGTAAAATATATTTTATAGCTTAGGGGTTGATAAAAGCCTGTCATGGCTTCCAACTGAACTAGCCAGTTGCCAGCAGGCTCTTGTGCAGTTTTCTGAGGCAGGACCTTTTCTGAGTAGACCCAAGAAAAGCCACATGAACTTGAAAACCTGGTCTTGGGTTTTTTTTGGTTTTTTTTGTTTTTTTTCTCCAAAACGCAGACCCAACAACTCATTTAAAATATTACATTTTAGCTGCCCTTGCTCCATTATCTCCATACGGATCCTCCTTTTGTCCATTTTAGTAGATACTTAGATTTTAAAAGAAACACTAATTTATGTTTCAAGAAAATGAGGGAAAAACCAATAAGCTACACACCCCAAAGAAGCAAAGTTCTCCAGCTCTGTTCAAAAGTATTCTTTTCAGTCAATGATGAATATTAAGGATATTATGGGTGTGATGCAACCACTTGCAGTACCAGAATCCGTTTTATTCAAAATATTCTCATAGTGTGTATGGCATTCAAAGGAATGTGAGTGCAGACACACTGAGTGCAACTAGGCCTGGCTGTAGAATTTTACAGCTTTACTGTCACAGAGGTAATTGTTACTGAAATAAAAAGAGTTTATTACTCAAAACTAAGATACTTCAGTTACTCTGGCTTAAACCTTCCCATCTTTTCCCAATGACTGCAGTGTCCAGGGTCCATGTGCACTTCCACCTGGGCAGAGCTGCTGTGAGGAGTTTTACCTGGAAGTAGATGACTACAGCAAACACAAACACTGTAGCAATCAGGTTCATGAGATTGGGCAGATTCTGTCGGTAAAAAGCCTCCCGCAGAGCCCGGACCTTGTCAGTTCGTGTGGCCAGGAGATGGAACAATGCAATCACAGCACCCTCAAACTCTGTTCCTGCAGGAAGCAAGAAAGGGAAAGAAAGGTTAATCTCCAAACTTAAAACATTTTTTTTAAAAGTCCCTTTCTTTTTGAAATTTTACGTATGACACACAGAAAATGTGATACAATAGGACATGGATCTTGTCATAACAAATATGTCACAAC